AAGCTGTTGCCTTTATGGTTCTGCTTTCAGACTTCACTAAGGCATCCAGTTGGCCACTGCAGGAAGTACGACGCTGAACTAGATGGACCTAGTTGCAGTTGATCCCTATAGATGTCAGCCTTTGCCAACCAGGTGCCCTCCAGATGGTTTGGGTCACAACTCCCATCAGCCCCGGCCAGAAGGGCACCAGGCTGAGATAAGTCCTCACACCTCAGTGCTTAAGCAAACCACAAGCTGCTTGTGTTTGTGTTTATCAGGATGTGTGAGAACCGCCCATTAGGTGTTCCTGTTTTCTGTGGGTCCCGGGGATTGTTCCAGCATTTGACATATGACTTGGGAGTCTCAAGAAGCAAAGTGTTTTTAAAGCACTGCTGCGATTTTAACAAAGGGTACCTGGAGGTATGATACGTGAAATGCATGGCACACAAATGAATACTTGCATAACCTGATACTTAGCAAAAGAAACAGCTGGAGCAAACAGAAGAAAAGGAGCTTAAGAGAGCTTAGAGCAGGGGTGTGGAACTGGATCTGGCTGGAAGGCTCCCCACAAGCCAGCTTTGACTGGTGGGTGGGAAGCACCCACCTATCAATCACCTGGTGTCATTATGATATCAGGTGATGACTTCAAAGGTGCTCGGTCTCAGCACCCATCAGTGGTGAGAGCAGCTTCATTGTTCTCACTAGGGAACAGCAAAGGTTTTAACTACCCCTCACCCAACAACTCATATGGCATCAGATGTTGGGCTGGTGGGCATGGCTTCAGGGAAATGGCATCCTGGGCCTCATTAGCCCTGCCTGTTAGAGGTTCCCCACTGCTGGCTTAGAGCAGGGGTGCCAACCTAAATAAAAGATGGAGGGACCAGGTAATCCCCACCTGGCATAATCAATCACAAGACGTGCCACACACAGCCCATTTGAATAGCAATGCCCATCAACTTTGGGGTGGCCCAGCCCCCTCAAATATTTTATTGGAGGGGCAAAGGGATTGTGGCCCCCAGGAGTTGGCTCCTATGGCTTAGAGCAGTGAAGGCCAAACTTAGCCCTCCAGCTGTTTTGGGACTACAATTACCATCATCCCTGACCACTGGTCCTGCTAGCTAGGGATGATGGGAGTTGTAGTCCCCAAACAGCTGGAGGGCCAAGTTTGGCCATCACTGGCTTAGAGGAACCACCAGGGTATGTCTTGATGCCTGCTGACACTGTTCTCAAAGTGCCAGGAGATACAGAGGCAGGACCTGCTTCCTTCCTGCCTTGTGAAAGCAAAGTGATTTCAATAAATGTAATAATAAATAAAGTGCTTTTGCTGTGTCTAGCACCCATGGGTTGGGAGGAGTGTTTTTAGTTCATTCCCTTGTGTGGAACGTCTGGGGGCTGCGTGCCAATAATGATGCAGAGTAGGCTATATCCCAGCCTTGCAAAAAGAAGAGGGTTCTGTATATACAACCCCACCTTCATCTTGGCCAGCAAGAGGCATGGCCACGGTTGAGGGACACCTTCCAGGCAAGCAAATGTGCTCAAGGAAGGCATGGAGCAGGGCCACAGAGGGGCACAGTTTGGGGAGTGGGAAAGGCCCTGGGAGTGTATTGAGGGCCAGACAAGGAGGTCTGGAGGAACATATTTGGCGCCTGAGCCTGAGGTTCCCCACCAGTTTCTACAAAACGTAGTTTGAAGACAATGGAGCAAGAACAGGTCAAGCCATGGCCACCCCTGAATGCCAGACTCTGGAAATGGATGAAGAAAGCATCTTGAAGAAAAGCAAACTCATATAAAGCCATAGCTGGTCTCTTAAAATGTCTGTGCATAAAGGGTTCTATAGCAATACTCCATTCTTATTATACTTCTAGTAAATAATGAAACAAGAACAACACATTTGAGAGAAGCCCAGATCTCCCACAAGGTTGCACAGATGGGGAACTGAGCGCTAATATTCCCCCCCTGCTATGCTCCAAATGGTGGTTCAGAGTGATGATGATTCCTTTAATCTATCAATTTGTTTTGTAATGGATAATAAAAGACCGGGGGGGGGGGGGATAATGATCAACCACACTTTTTTGATTCAAATGCATAACTCTATTTAAGACTCACTCATGAACTGCTGTGATCTTAGTTGGCCTCTATGTGGATTTATTGTTTTTTATCATAGCTATGCTTTCTCTTTCTATGTATATGTGTGTATTAGTTTAGTAAGCTGTCTTACGCATTCTTTGGGGGTGATCTGTTGTGCAAACTAGATACATTCTAGCCGATCCCGCCATAATTCCCCCAAAATTCATGTATAGATGAAGGTCACAACTGCACTAAACATAAGCTGTTTCCTAGTTCTGCTGGATCTCTCAGTATCCTTTGATACCATCAACCATGACATCCTTCAGGACCGTCTAGAGGGGCTGGGAGCATTGTTATACAGTGGTTCCACTCCTTCCTCCTGGGCCGTGTCCAGAAAGTGGTGGTGGTGGGGGATGAGTGTTTGGACCCCTGGGCTCTCACTTGTGGGGTGCCCCAGGGTTCCATCCTCTTCCCCATGCTTTTTAACATCTATATGAAACTGCTGGGAGAGATTATCAGGGGGTTTGGGCTGGGTGTTCATCAGTATGCGGATGATACCCAGCTCTACCCTTCTTTTAAATCCGAACCAGTGAAGGTGGTGAAGGTCCAGTGTGAGTGTCTGGAAGTGTTTGGAGGATGGATGGCAGCTAACAGATTGAGGTTGAATCCTGACAAGACCGAAGTACTGTTTTGGGGGACAGGCGGCAGGCTGGTGTGGAGGACTCCCTGGTCCTGAATGGGGCAACTGTGCCCCTGAAGGACCAGGTGCGCAGCCTGGGAGTCATTTTGGACTCATAGCTGTCCATGGAGGCACAGGTCAATTCTGTGTCCAGGGCAGCTGTCTACCAGCTTCATCTGGTATGCAGACTGAGACCCTACCTGCCCGCGCAGACTGTCTCGCCAGAATGGTGCATACTCTGGTTATCTCCCGCTTGGACTACTGCCATGTGCTCTATGTGGGGCTACCTTTGAAGGTGACCCAGAAACTACAACTAATCTAGAATGTGGCAGCTAGATTGGTGACTGGGAGTGGCCACCAAGACCATATAACACTGGTCCTGAAAGACCTACATTGGCTCCCAGTACGTTTCTGAGCACAATTCAAAGTGTTGGTGCTGACCTTTAAAGCCTTAAACGGCCTCGGCCCAGTATACCTGAAGGAGTGTCTCCACCCCCATTGTTCAGCCTGGACACTGAGGTCCAGCACCGTGGGTCTTCTGGCAGTTCCCTCCCTGCGAGGTTACAGGGAACCAGGCAGAGGGCCTTCTTGGTAGTGGTGCCCACCATGTGGAATGCCCTCCCATCAGATGTCAAGGAAATTAACATTTACCTGACTTTTAGAAAACATCTAAAGGCAGCCCTGTTTAGGGAAGTTTTTAATGTTTGATTCTATTTTTAATATTCTGTTGGGAGCTGCCCAGCCAGATAGGCAGGATATAAATAAATTATTATTATTATTATTATTATTATTATTATTATTACTACAGCACTGTTATACCACTGCAGTCATCACTTCTCCCAAAGAATCTTGGGAACTGTAGTTTGTTAAGAGTAGTTGTTAGGGGATCCCCCTAGTCCCCCCACAGAGCTACAATTCTCAATTTCTCTTCCCTGGGAATTCTGGGAATTGTAATTCTGTGAGGAGAATTTGGGGGCTCGCCTGGTGCTTTTGTTACCTATCTTCAGGTGCCAAGCAAATACCTTCCTCTTCACCAGGCCCTTTGATTAATTAACCAAACTATGGCCTTTTCAATTGTGTGTTGGGGGGGGCAGGGTATTTTGTGGGCTTGTTACTACATTATGTATTTCTGTGCTTTTCCGTTGTGAACCACCCTGTGACCCTTAGGTGAAGTGCAGCATGGAAATTCAATAAATAACTTCAGATGGACAGCACAGCCTTTGGAACCACAGAAACTGCCTTTGGTCTAGTTGGATGACTCGTCCGTCCAGTGCAGTGCTGCTTGTGCTGCCTGTCATAGGCTCTCCACCTTGGTCAGACCATACCTGGAGTCCTATGTCCAGTTCCGGGCACCACAATTTAAGAAGGATATTGATAAGATGGAACATGAACAAAGGAAGGTGACCAAGATGATCAAGGATCTGGAAAACAAGTCTTATGGGGAACGGCTGAGGGAACTGGGTATATTTAGCTTGGGAAAGAGGATACTGAGAGGAGATATGACAGCCATCTTCGACCATTGATGGAGCAAACTTGTTTCCCCCTGCTTTGGAGGGTAGGACCTGTACCAATGAATTGCGCTTGCTGATCAGAAGCTCAGCGGCTCATATCCCCGTGACGGGGTGAGCTCCCATTGCTCTGTCCCAGCTTCTGCCAACCTAGCAGTTCGAAAGCACACCAGTGCAAGTAGATAAATAGGCACCACTGCGGCGGGAAGTTAAGTGGCATTTCCGTGTGCTCTGGTTTCTGTCATAGTGTTCCGTTGCACCAGAAGAGGTTTAGTCCTTTACCTTTTACCTTTACCAATGGATTCAAGTTACAAGAAAAGAGATTCCAACTAAATATCAGGAAGAACTTTGTCATGGTAAGAGCTGCTTGACAGGGGAACAAGACTTCCTTGGGAGTTAGTGGATTCTTCTTCTTTGGATGTTTGCAAGCAAAGCTTGGATGGCTGTCTGTCATGTAGAATGGAGTTGAGGTTCTTTGCAGGGGTTTGTACTAGACGACCCTCGGGGTCCCTTCCAAACTCTATAGGGTTTCCTAAAGACCCCAGTCTGGAGCAGTCAGGGCTCGATCCATCTGCCCGCAGGACACGTGTTTTGCGCGGAGCCTTCGCCCTCGCGGGCTCGCCTGCTGGGTTGGCCCGTGTCCCGGCCAGCCTCTCTCCGTCCCTCCCAGCGCCGGGGCGCCCGCCACTCGCTGCCCTTCCGCCCCCGACGGTGCGAGCCAGCCGCCCACGGGGCATAAGCGCCTCCCCGTCGCGGCCGAGCCCCCTGCCACCCCCGGCCGAGTTGTCCCAGCGAGGAGCGCCTGGTCCGTCGGGCGTCGCGATGCAGGGCCAGGCAGCGGGCAGCCGGGCGCTGTGCTGCGCGCTGGCTGCCGTCGGGTTGCTGTCGGCGCTGAGCGCCGCGGGCACCGTCTTCTTGCTGGGACAGTGGCGGGAGCTGAGCGCCGCGCTGCAGGCGACCCAGGAGGAGGTGGCGCAGCTGCGACAGCCCCAGGTTCCGCCGAGCGCGCTGCGGCACCTCCGCGACAGCGGCAACCCGTCGGACGGCGGCCTCGCCCAAGCGCCGGGCGGCCGCGACAAGAGGAGCCAACGGAGGCGCGCCCTCGCCAAGAGCCACATCCGCGCCGAGGACGAGGACATGCTCATGATGATGACCTACTCCATGGTGCCGGTAGGGGGCGCTCTGGCCTGTCGAGGGGGAGGAGGGGTCGGGGTCGAGACTGGGTTTCTCCCTAGAGATCCAGAGAGAAATCTGCGCTTGGAAAGCTCCAGTTATCTTGCCCCCAAGGTCAGGCTTGCTACCCACAACTCCGCACTGGCAGAGCTCCTGTGCGGCAGCCAGCGGAAATCCAACAGGTGCAGCTTGCGCTATGGAGAGGGGCAGAAAATCAGTCCCCCCGGTTGGACCCTTTTAGGGTAAAGGAGTATTGGGAAATGATCCACAATGAACTGGAAAAAACCAGAGTCCTTTCTGTTGGGGATAATTCAGACTGAAATTCCCAGGTGTCAAAAAAGCTAATTTATGTATGCTGCTGCTGCGGCCTCTGTTTTGTTAGCCCAAAAATGGAAAACGAGCAAGGTCCCAACTAAAGAAGAATGGAATATGCACAACTCGCAGACTTAACGTATAGAATAAGAGAAAATAACTGTGCACAACTGAAAACGCTGGCAGCATTAAGATAAATTCAACAGTGTAAACCAAGTTTTGATGGGTGCAATAATGGAATACTGAATGGCATAGTTTTTGTAAAATATGCAGGGATTTATGATATGTAAAATGAACCATGGAAAGAGAAGAAGGGAAGTCACTGATATCTGAAGGATGTAAAATGAGTATTTTAAATTGTAAAACAGAAAACGCATTAAAGAAGAAGAAGAAAGAAAGTTCCCCCTGTTGGATTTCGGCCACTCTTCGTGGCACCGGAGCGAGGCCAGCAGATAAAGATGGCAAGGGGGAATGAAGGCCCCGATATTTGGTGAAGGTGGGGGGCCTGAAATATCCAGGGTTAGCATCACCCCCTGTGTCAAAGGCTCCTGTTGCTTGACAGCTACAGCTTTCCCTGTCTCTGCATGCCACGCTTCAGAAAGGCACCACCTGTTGAATTTTGCGATCTGAAGCCTGTTAGAGGATTTCTTCCATTCACATGCCTGTGCTCAGGTTGGATCTAAGCAACCTGGGTATGTGCAGGATACCAGCCAAAGAGTGTATATTTAAGTGCCTTAATAATAACTGTTGAATTGTGTGCAGCCATAAGCAGGGTATCATTTTTTCAAAAAACAAAAACCCTATTGATTTAATTAGCCAGAAACAGTGGCGTAGCGTGGGTTGTCAGCATCCGGGGCAAGGCAAGTAATTTGCGCCCCCTAACCCGTGGATTTGCGCCCCCTAACCCTAACCCCCAGATGTTGCGCCCGGTGCGGCTGGCCCCCCCTGCACCCCCCACGCTACGCCACTGGCCAGAAATTCCCAGGTTCAGTCCCTGGCATCTCCAGGTAAGATAATGTACTCATGTTGAGTTGGAAGGGACCCAAAGGTCATCTAGCCCAACCCCTGGAATGCAGGACGGAGAAAGACTTCTATTCTGAAACCGCAAAGAGTCACTGCCAGTCAGTGTAGACACAAGCTAAATGGTCCGATTCAGTACAATGCAACTTCCCATGTTCCTCTTTTTGTTGTGTTGTGCAAGACCTCCAAGTGTGCTACACAGCAGGGGCTGGAGGAGAGGGCTAGGGAAGGGGGCAGGTTGCAGATGCTGCAACTCCCTCTCCCTAGGTTTAAATGGGTAGAGTCAATCTCCAGGTTGTGATTTTGGTGGCACTTTGGTATTTTGGACAGCTTGTTCTGCACTGCCAAGGTGAGCCAAAACATCAGCTGAACAGCAGTACTTAAAACAGCAACACCTCTTAAATTCTCTGTAAGGGACACGGGTGGCGCTGTGGTCTGAACCACTGAGCCTCTTGTGCTTGCCAGTCAGAAGGTTGGCGGTTTGAATCCCTGTGATGGAGTGAGCTCCCATTGCTCTGTCCCAGCTCCTGCCAACTTAGCAGTTCAAAGCACACCAGTGCAAGTAGATAAATAGGTACCACTGTGACGGGAAGGTAAATGACTTTTCCATGCACTCTGGCTTCCATCATGGTGTTCCGTTGCTCCAGAAGTGGTATAGTCATGCTGGCCACATGACCTGGGAAGCTGTCTGTGAACAAACACCGGCTCCCTTGGCCTGAAAGCGAGATAAGTGCCACAACCCTATAGTCGTCTTTGACTGGACTTAACCGTCCAGGGGTCCTTTGTTGTCGTTTAGTTGTTTAGTCGTGTCCGACTAAACACTCCTGTCTTCCACTGCCTCCCGCAGTTTGGTCAAACTCATGCTGGTAGCTTCGAGAACACTGTCCAACCATCTTGTCCTCTGTCGTCCCCTTCTCCTAGTGCCCTCAATCTTTCCCAACATCAGGGTCTTTTCCAGGAGTCCTTTACCTTTACGTTTTTACTTAAAACAGCATCACCTCTTAATGTTTCTTTACAGCCCTGTAGCTTTAAGCACCTCCAAACCCTCTGATTTGTTGGAGGAATCAACAGCCTTAGCAAACTATCCGAAAACCCACACTCTGCCTTTATACCACTCTCATCCATACTTCTGCTTGACTTGTATTTTGATTATATTGTGTACCGATTGATTCCTCTGGGTCCAAGAACTTTTCTGGTTGTTCTGCAGCTGTGTCTTGCAAAGCTCCAACCTTATCTGCTGAATTTGATCTTATCAGTTGCGCAGAAATTCCAAAGAGAGATTTTGCTTTACGAAGCTTTGATTCGGTGGGTTAGATCAGTTTTTCATGAGGCACAGCTGCTTAACCCTGTATTGCAGGGGGTTGGAAAAGTGTTGTGATTCTATGATAACTTATATGCACACTCAGGGAGATGGTTTGACAGTGATAGAATTTATGATCTGTTCAATGTTTCCCCCATAAAATACTTTATCTGTAGCATTATCAGTTGCTGTGTGATATTTTGTATCCTAAGACAGAACCACAAGGTGTGCAAACGCCATCTAATCCTAAACTGCATTGCAGTAAAAACAAAACCAGAACTTTCTTCCAAGATATACAACAGTTGTCTGAGCGATTATATAGTCATAATGTGTCTACAGCTGACACTCAGTTTAGAAAGTTGTCAACTGGCCCAGGCTTCTGTGCCTTTAATGATCTGCAACACTTGGAAGCTTGCCGTAAGAACATAGGAAGACAGTCTGGAAACTTCAGCTGGTGCAGAATTCAGCGGCCAGGCTGCTCCCCGGAGCAAGATGGTTTGAGCATATTACACTGATCCTGGTCCGACTGCACTGGCTACCAATTAGTTTCCAGGGCCAATTCAAAGTGCTGGTTTTGACCTATAAAGCCTTAAATGGCTCAGGACTGCAATACCTCAAGGACTGCCTCTTTCCATATGAACCTACACAGACCCTGAGATCACCTTCTGAGGCCCTCCTTCATGTGTCTCCTCCTCGAGAGGTCTGGAGGGTGGCAACACAAGAACGGGGCCTTCTCTGCAGTGGCTCCCCATCTGTGAAATGCTCTCCCCAGGGAAGTTCACCTGGTGCCTTCATTTTACACCTTTTTAACCAGGCCTTTGGTTGACCTGACTGACATCCTATGCCCTTTTAAAATGTGGCACTTTGGGTGGTGGGGGGCTGTTATTGGGTTATTGTGTTTATTTTGATTTTATATATTGTGATCTTTTCTGTGAACCGCCCTGAGACCTCCGGGTATAGGGCAGTACATAAATTCAATCAAAATAATAATAATAATAATAATAATAATAATAATAATAATAAGAGGAGGAGCTTGACTGCTGAATCAGGCAAAGCCCCATCTAGTCCTGCATTCTGCTTTCACAGTGGCCAACCAGATGACTATGGGAAGCTTGCAAGCGAGACCCAAGCAGAACAGCACTCTAATAATAATAATAATAATAATAATAATAATAATAATATATTTATATCCTGCCCTCCCCAGCCAAAGCCGGGCTCAGAGCCGGGCTCAGAGCAGCTAACAACAGTAAAAATAGCACAATTTACATAAAATCACAGTCAATTAATTGAAATACATTCTAAAATCAGTTCAGAATCAAATTAATGGCAACCACCGGGCTAGAGTTCTATGAGGATGACAGAAGGAGAGAGGAGGTCAGGCTGTGCCCTGGCCAAAGGCCTGGTGGAACAGCTCTGCCTTGCAGGCCCTGTGGAAAGATGTCAAGTCCCGCAGGGCCCTAGTCTCTTGTGACAGAGCGTTCCACCAGATCAGGGCCATGGCCGAAAAAGCCCTGGCTCTGGTTGAGGCCAGCCTAACCTTGCTGTGGCCCGGGATCTCCAAGATGTTTTTGTTTGAAGACTGTAAGGTCCTCTGTGGGACACACCAGGAGAGGCGGTCCCGTAGGTACGAGGGTCCTAGGCCGTATAGGGCGTTAAGGGTCAAAACCAGCACCTTAAACCTGATCCTGTACTCCACCGGGAGCCAGTGCAGCTGGCATAGCAGTGGCGGAATGTGATCCTGCAGCGAGGACCCCGTAAGGAGTCTCACCACGGCATTCTGCACCCGCTGGAGTTTCTGGGTCAGTCTCAAGGGCAGCCCCACGTAGAGTGAGGCTGGTATTCAGAGGCATAATGTCTCTATGGAGGTAGAAAACAGCCATCAGGGCTAGTGGCCATTGATAGTCTTGCTACTGTCCAAGGAGCATCATCACATTCCAATTGCTGCAGACTAAATGATGGTTAAAGGTGCAGGTGCCAGATCTGGGTGTAAACTGGCGACTCTTTCTGTATTTTATTCTGGGTTCAGATTTCATTTTGCATTTCACTTTAAATCACCCTGAAAACTTTTTCCGTCGAATATTGGCAATTAAACTGGCAGCGAAGAATGACATCTGTACCAGCAGATCTTTAAAAATGCAAGAAAGGAAAGGGGGGGAGGAATACAATTGAGTGGCAATTTTATCCATTCATTAATTTTAAAGGTGGGTATAAATAGGATGGAAGAACTTCTATTGCACATGTCTTGCTTGGTGGAGCTTCTGTCCAGACTCAGGTATCAAGTACCATGGAGCCAGGTGCTTGCATTAGGTGTTCTGAAATCTAAGTCTTCGCACAATATGTATTTTGAATTTTTTTTGTTCCTCCATCACGCCAACCACTACAAGGCATGCTTGCTTTCCATGCTTGCTGCTTCCTCTTGTCTCCTTACCCTGTGAGTGCCAGAGAAGCCTGGCATAAATTACCCACGGCTGTGTGCCTCCATAAGATCTCACCTGTTCAGACCCTTTCATTAGATCATTCCTATTACATAGCCAGAAAGCTAGGGACCATCATTTGCATTTTAAAGGACTGCTAATGGGCTGCAGCTCAGTGGTTAGAGCATCTCCTTTGCATGCAGAAAGTCCTAGATTCTATTGCTGGCAGGTCCAGGGAGTCTGGAAGACAGCCTGGAGAGCCACTGTCAGTCAGTGCAGACAACAATGAGCTGGTCTGGTTCCATGTAAGGCAGTTTCCTCATGCACATTTCTTGGGACACTTGTGAAGGCTGTCAGATGAGCCAGTGTTTCACTGCTTTTGCTTCATCTTCCTCCCCCGAGAGAGAGAACAGATCAAGCTCTCAAAATTGCAAAGCTAACGTCATCTGTTCTGCAGATGTTCTTGCAAAAGGTAAGAAATGGAAAAGATGGGGGGAAACCCAAACAGAAGACGATTTGGTTTTTGTTATGTACTGAGTTGAATAGGATCCAAAAGGCAGCAGTCTGATTGGCCCCAGAACAATAGGATCCGGAATGCAGCAGTCTGATTGGTCCACAGGAGCCACCCAATCCAGCTCCAGGTGGAAGTGAACCCGCAACCTGATTGGCCTACAGGTGAATCCTGGAATTAGCCAATCATGTGGGGCCCATTGTGTAAATAATGTATATAAAGCAGACATTCTGGGGGAACTTCCATTCCTCCTCACCACTATTAGCTGAATAAAGAGCATGAAATCCACTCTCGACTCCAAGTATATTTCAGTTTTAGTTGCTCTCTAGCTAGCCGTCAGTGTTCCCCTGAAGCTGTTTCCCAGTGTTGTTCTACTTTGTGTAGATCCTGGGAGTGGGTGGGAAATCTCAGTTAGTTTGTGTCTACACATATTAAGTTGCTGGAGTGGCTTCGCAATCAAACCATCTTCCCAGGGAACTCTGGGAATTGTAGGAGTGTGTGTGTGTCCTGACAACCCTTGGCCTCCTGAACAAACTACAGCTCCCATAATTCTTTGTGGGAAGCCATGGCTGTTTAAAAGTGTCGTTATAGTGTTTTACATGTATGCTGTAGGTGTGGGCTGAGTGTAGGGGGTCCATTGCAGGCCCTGTCCTATACTCCCCTCCCGTCTCATACTCTGGTTTTTCTTCAGATCATATAAATCTTCTGCTTTTTTGCTATATCCCACTGTCTTTTGCTTGGCAACAGTGGTGTGGAAATTCTATGAGTAAAAGAAAGAGGCTTTCATCCTTTTTGCTGGGTGCATTCCTATGTCTTCAGTAGCTCCCGATCTAGAGACAAGTATTGCAACAACGAAAAATCAGTGGCCATTTTTCCATCCCTCGATTCATTCTTTTGTGTCAAAACAAATTGCAGGACAAATTCCACCTCCTCCACCCCCACTCCCCGCTCTCCCGCTCTCTCTTAATAGACTCTCGCTATGATTATGCCAGTTGACAAAGTGTTTTCGTTGAAGAAGCTCTGCAAAGAGTGAGCAATCAGTCGCCCGACTTTGTGAACAAAAGCATGGAAATGAAAGCAAAATAAGCAAAAAGGAGAGGGCAAGGAATCTGGAACGCAGTCGTGATATTCTGGCATGGCTATAGATTGGACGACGGTGCAAAACAAAGAAGCCCAAATCTGTAGTAAATGACTCATTCTCAGTTCGGTGAAAAGCGCCGCGTGGAATGTGAGAGGAGCACTTTGATGCGCGTCCAAAATTCCTTGCTCATCAACCCTATTTGTGTTATGTCGCTGAGCAGAGTTTGCTCGTGTTCCAGATAGGGCTTGCTAATAATCTCACATTCTTTTCTCAAGCCCACCCAAAGGCAGAGGCTCAAAATGTTTCCCAAAGGCAAACATGGGTCGTGTGTCTAGATGCAGAAGAGAACCGGATCCTTCAGTACCTTTTAAATTGGGGTGGGGTAAGCCTGTGGCTCCCGAGATGTTGCCGGACTACACTTCCCATCATCGTCAGCCATTGGGCATGCTGGCTGGGGCTGATGGGAGTTGGAGTCCAACATCATCCTGGATAGCTCCGTTGGTTAGAGCATGGTGCTGATAATGCCAAGGTTGCAGGTTTGATCCCCATATGGGATAGCTGCCTGTTCCTGCATTGCTGGGGGTTGGGCAGGATGATCCTCAGGGTCTCTCTGCAATTCTATGAATCATCTGGAAGGCCACAGGTGCCCCATCCTTTTTTTCAGTGGTTGTACAGAATATAGGGTTATGTTATTGTTATGCAGGATAAACTCCTGGGTGATATGAACTGTTTGGAAATGCCTGCCTATTGATCTTAGGCAAACTCCTTTTCTGGGCTGTTTTAGGCACCTGCTAAAACCTTTCTTGTTTATACAAGCCTACATGGACATGTATGGGACTGAGCTTAGGACTTGCCAATCAGAAAGTCGGGGGCTCGAATCCCCGCGATGGGATGAGCTCCCATTGCTCTGTCCCAGCTCCAGTCAATTTAGCAGTTCGAAAGCACCCCAGTGCAAGTGGATAAATTTCCATGCACTCTGGCACTCATCATGGTCTACCAGTAGCGATTTAGTCCTGCTGGCCACATGACCCAGAGAGCTGTCTGTGGACAAATGCCAGCTCCCTTGGCCTGAAAGCGAGATGAGCGCCACAACCCCATAGTCGCCTTTGACTGGACTTAACTGTCCAGGGGTCCTTTATGTTTTACCTTTTACAGACATGTATATTTGCCATATATTTTAATTTGTAAGTTGTTTATTAACAATAATAGCAATAATAGCAATAATAACAATAATAATAACAATAGTAACAATAATAACAATGATGATGATGTATGACATGTACCCAGCTAAAGCTTTCTCAGAATAAACCTGTTATTTCATTTTAATGGATGTACTTAGGGCAGGAGAACAATCACAAAACTGGGATGGCATCAATGGTAGCAGGGGGAGAAAAGAGGGATGTGAAAATGATAGTGTTATAAATCCTGCTTCTATGCACATAGCTCAGTGGGAGAGCATCTGCTTTGCATGCAGAAAGTCCCAATTTCAATTCCTGGCATCTCCAGGTAAGGCTGGGAATGCTGCCCCCTGTCTGAAATCCTGGAGAGACACTTCCCACCAGTGTGGACAATACTGAACCTGATGGACTCGTGGTCTGGTTTGGTAGAAGGCAGCTTTCCAGGGATCCCTACTTCAAACTCCCAGGTACCCAACATTGGCCATGCTGGCTTGGATTCATGGGAGTTGGAGTCCAACAGCACTCACAGGATATTGTGTTGGCTTCCCCAGTTGAAGATTTCATACCCTCCAACATTTCTCTGATGAGAATAGGGATGTCCTATTCCACCACCACCACCACCACCATCATCAATATTATTATTATTTTATTTATACCCCACTCATCTGACTAGGTTACCCCAGCCACTCTAACGTATATAAAAATATTATAAAATGTTTATAAACTTCCCTATCCAGGGCTGCCTTCAGATGTCTTCTAAAGGTTGTATCTCCTTGGCTCAGGGGTTGCATAACTCCATACCCTCCAACATTTCTCCAAAGAAAATAGGGATGTCCTAAGGAGAAGCGGAGGGACGCTCGTGGCGCTGTGGGTTAAACCACACAGCCTAGGACTTGCCGATCAGAAGGTCGGCAGTTTGAATCCCCGTGACGGGGTGAGCTCCCGTTGCTCGGTCCCTGCTCCTGCCAACCTAGCAGTTCGAAAGCACGTCAAAGTGCAAGTAGATAAATAGGTACCGCTCTGGTGGGAAGGTAAACGATGTTTCCGTGCACTGCTCTGGTTCGCCAGAAGCGGCTTAGTCATGCTGGCCACATGACCTGGAAGCTGTACGCCGGCTTCCTTGGTCAATAAAGCGAGATGAGCGCCGCAACCCCAGAGTCAGCCACGACTGGACCTAATGGTCAGAGGTCCCTTTACCTTTAAGGAGAAGCGGGAAATTCCGGGGTCAAATAAGAAACAGGGACAGCTTCTGTAAATCCGGGACTGTCCCTGGAAAACAGGGGCACTTGGAGGGTCTGAGATTTGCAGCAGCAAAGGAGTGGGGTTAGGATGGAGGGCACAGATGGAGGGCACACTCTCCTCCCAGCCACAATATCACAAGTCATAACATTGGAGAGTTGCTGGGAGTTCACTCTGGTGCTTATGCTTTGAATGAGTAGGAGCATGGTACCCAGTTCTTCTGATGCCTGATTAAAAAACATAACCCCCCCCCATGGCCTTAGCAGTTAAGGCCAATGTGTTCTTTCAAAAATGAGCTTAGGTTGCATTTTGACACTTGTCCTAACATTACCCTCCTTTGGAACACTACATTCCCTGGTTTGTCAGCAATGATGTCTGTACAAAAAGTAACCAGCATTCATCCCTTTAAATTATTTCCTTGGTGCAGTGGGCCACTACATGCCCCCCCCCAGCTCTCTTCTGTCCTCCATCCAGCTTATCAGTTCAAATACATTGGGAGTACAGCCTGGGAGGGGGTTCCAAGGGCCACATAGAAAGGATTGGAGGGCCACGATTTGCCTGCAGTACTGAGGTTTATCACCACCGCTGTAGAAAAGAAGTCATGAATTAATAGTTAATAAAAGATCACAGATCCACTTCAAATTGGAAACTGGATTTTTGTTCCTGTTAGGTTTTCAAGCAGAGACTGGTTTGCCACCCAAGAGGGATGCTGTATCAGTAGATCACGGGCAGGGGTTGGGCTAGAGAGCCTTTGAGATCCCTTCCAGCTTACTATATAATTGCAAGCAGAGGGGCAGCTCGACTGGGTACTCGTACACTCAAAAATGTTTGGTCTGGCACACTTGGAAAGCAAATCTTTAATACTGTATTTGGGCCTCAAGTTATAAAGGACAACTTGCCTTTAGTGGCCCCCTCATGCTTGCTGGGCTTCAACATGAGTTGCAGATCTAGACTTGTCTCCTGATTGGCAGGTTTACCTTGAACAGTGACTCGAGCAGAGACACAACAGGGATCTTCCAGCAAGGATGTAGAATTACTCTGTATCTCTTCATTAGGTGTGATTGGATTAAGGCACAGAGATGCAGCAGAACCATCTCCTCCTGCAGCAACAGAGGCTGGTTGGAAGGTGGCAAAGTTGGGCTTTTTGACATGCAGAGACACAATGGGCAGCCACCTCTGAAGATCATGCTTAGTCTATGCCTTGGGAGTGGTTGAGTGACCATTCATTCCTGATGCAGAAGGATACTGAATTCTCCAACTCCCTGGCCCAAGAAATAATGATCAGAAGAACTCAGAGTATTTAAGCATGCAGAGATGCAGCAGGCAACCTCTTAGGAACATAAGACGAGTTTTGCTGGATCACACCAAAGGCCTGTCTAACCTCTGGATTCCTACGGGAACAAGCTAAGCATGTAGACATTCAGATTGCCTCTCACCCTGGAAATGTCATAAATCCATTTTGACCAGCAGCAACTGATAGAGCTGGGCTCCATGGATTTGTGCTTTGGAGCTGAGGGCAGCCTTTCTGCATTAAATTATCTCGAGTCGTGGCACACTCTGTTTTAAAGCATTATTCTGATGTGCTAGAATGGTAGGAAGCTGTCTAAATCTCACATTCTGCACCCTGCCATAAAGATACCGTGTTTTGTGATTTCAGGTCCGGGTGATGATCGAGATCTGCAACAGCACAAAGGGAGTGTGCTTGACAGGTATGCTGGAGAATTTGTGATCGGGCAAACTGGGGCCTTTTTTCTGTCTGTGCCTATTTTATTGCTGCTACAGCAGTGGGAGAAATTTGCCACCAGTATCACTACCCAAAGCTGCTCTAAACCAGGGTCTTCTAGGAGCATGTCTAAGTGTGGAAATACAGCTGATTTTATCTATATCTATCTATCTATCTATCTATCTATCTATCTATCTATCTATCTGATGGCTTTTATATGGTCAGAGGGAGAGGAACTGTTCCTGCTCCACTTCTGAATGCCTTGCTGCAGCCTACTTGCATTGGCATTCTCTAACCCAGGGGTCAGCAAACTTTTTCAGCAGGGAGCTGGTCCACTGTTCCTCAGACTTTGTGGGGGGCCAGACTATATTTTTTGGGGGGAAATGAATGAATTCCTATGCTCCACAAATAACCCAGGAATGCATTTTAAATAAAATGACACATTCTACTCATGTAAAAACAAGGCGATTGGGCCGGATCCGGCCCCCGGGCCTTAGTTTGCCGACCCATGCTCTAACCCAGCTTTCTGCAACCTGTTCCTACTGGACTGCAAAACCCATCATCCCTGACCATTGGCTATGCTGGCTGGGGCTTATGGGAATTAGAGTCCGAAACACCTTGAGGCCAGCAAGTTGGGGGAAAGGAGCTGCTAACTTAAGCGAGTTTGCAATATTTCAGGTTGGTCCTGATAAAGAAATGGCACTACTGGTACTTTTGGATTGCTTTCCTAAAGGCAACACAGCTAATGGAAACCACAAGGACCTTTGGTTTCCATTAGCTTTGGCTTCCATGTTCTTCATTTATCCTTGGTCTCCCACTAGTCAAGGATAATGGGAGCCACAGTCCAGTGTAGATAACCACAGGTTCCCCATCCCTGGTCTAAATGGAGCTTGTTGGCTATAAAGATCCAGCACAGTCCATCAAGTGCATTTTTGGCCTAGGACCTCAGGGATAAACAATGACTTGATGTCCATTTTTCTAGATCAGGTGTGGGGAACCGTTGTCCTTCCAGATGTTGCTGAACCAGCATGGTGAATAGCCAGGGATGATGGCAGCATCTGGAAGGTCCAATTTCTCATACCTGGACTAGATACAATGGGGACGAGTCGCTGCTACGTAATTCTACACATCTTGCATGCAAAGGCTGGCGAATTTCCACAAGGACTTAAAAAAACAACAACCCACAAACTGATTTGGAGATGTGAAGAATTGAATTTACGATTGGACGAAATGAGAAACGGTTAGAAACAGAAATTGATCAGTTTGCCCATTGCTAGTTTCAGGTTCCCCACAGTCAAGCAGGAATGAGGAAGCCTTAAAGTAGGATCTTGGCCATCATTTAATCCAGCTCCGTTGTTTCATTTTGGCACGGCCTTCAGATCCCATGTGCCGTTTTCATGTGCGCTGCAAACCGAGATGCTGAGAGCTTCTTGGGAGGCACCAAAAATACAAAGGTGTAAAGGACTGGATTATGTTGGCTGGCAGGAGTGAAAAAGCGAGTGTGCCACTATCCTCTGCAATGAGACTACCCTGAGGAATGCATGCTTTGTCAAAAGAGCAACTGGCTGAAATTTAAGCGGGTGCTGGGCTTGGAACAGAGAAGTTTGTTTGTTTGTTTTGAAAGATTAGCCACCAGTGAACTGAATTGGGTGGTGGTAGAGGGAAGGATTACGTTTCTGTATTTTTCAAAGTATTATGTTGTGCGTATTGTGAGCAGTTTCCCACATAAATACAGCAGCAACCAATGCTCCCTTCTTGAGTAGGTGAGGCAAACATTTTTCGCAAAGTTAATCCGCCATTTTCATTTCACTTTTGAGCACATTTATTTATTTAGAGCATTTGCACCCTGTTCTTCAGGCTGCCAACCTCCCATCTTCGTAGCTGTCAACTTTTCCCTTTTCTTGTGAGGAATCCTATTCGGAATAAGGGAATTTCCCTTAAAAAAAGGGAAATGTTTACAGCTATGTTCAGCCGATGTACATGTGTAAACTCAGAGACTGGTAGCCGAATTGTGGAGGAGGGTGTGGACTGCTGGCTGCCTAAAACCTGTAGAGATGGGAAACATGTGACTCTCCACAAGCTGGACTCCAAGAACCATCAGCCCCTGTCAGCATGGCCAATGGTCAGGGCTGATGGGTGTTGTAGTCAAACTGGCTTAGTTTACCCATCTTTATTTCAAAGCAGGAATGGGGAACATCAGGCTTGAGCTCTCTGTCTCTCCTCTGGGACTCTCACAAGGCACATCCACTCTCCCCAAGCCATATCCCACTTAGGTTTCATTTCACACCTTCCTTGAGTGTTCTCACCTGGCTGCAAGGTGTCCTTGAGAAGGATAGAGGATATAGAGGGGGGTTGTGACAGTGTCAGTGTGTACAGCAACTAGCCTGCTGTACAGAGGTAAATTTACATTCATTTATCCTCTTTTAAAAATTATTTTCATTAATTTCCAAATTATTACAAATCAAAGCAAATTACTTTAATTTAATACAATTTCTTAAAATCAGGTTTCCCGCTCCTGTGGCAAACATATGTCAGTCATTTCCTCCCATAGCTGCATCTTCCCTTATTTAATGTCCAGTTGATCCTTCACTTGTCGCTAGTCCATTCCTGCAGCTGACCACATTATTATGATTACAGTGGAACCTTGGAAGCCGAATGCCTTTAAACTCAAACGTTTTGGCTTCCAAACGATCAAAAACCGAAAATGTTTTTCGGAAGCTGAACATCTGACATGACTTCCGCCTCTTCTGCTTCCGATTGGAAGCTCCTGCAGCCAATCGGAAGCCACGCCTTGGTTCTCGAACCATTTCAAGAGTTGAACAGACTCCTGGAATGTATTAAATTTGAGAACCAAGCTATGACTGTATTATTATTATTATTAATATTATTATTATTACTTCCTACTTACAAACAGCACCTCTGTTACATCTTATAAATATGAAATCCATTTCACGTGTGTAGTCCTTTATGTACATTGTTGTTTCAGACCTAGTGTGCTGGGATAATTAATTAATATCTTCCCATTCTACATTCATTTAGCCATAAACTTTTGATTCACATGTGACACTGCCCCCTCCAAAAAAAGCTGCCCAGAAGGGGACCTGTCTCTTAGGCTGAAATATTTTCTCCACCCCTACCTAAATGGTTACACATATCCTTTGTTTGTTTCAATGTAATTTTCAGTGTGATACAGTGGTACCTCAGTTTAAGAACAGCCCTGTTTAAGAACAATTTGGTTTACAAACTCCGCCAAACCGGAAGTAGTGTTCCAGTTTGCGAACTTTACCTCGGTCTAAGAACGGAAACTTAATGGTGGAAGGGCACCGGCGGTGGGAGGCCTCATTAGGGAAAGTGTGCCTCTGTTTAAGAATGGTTTCAGTTTAAGAACGGACTTCCGGGACAGATTAAGTTCTTAAACCAAGGTACCACTGTACTGGGATATTCATTGGAGTGTTATTTCCAGTTTTGGAAATGAGTTTGGAATGCACTGACTATTCTCCCTGTCTCTCTCTGTATGTGTCTAGGACCACCAGGAATACCAGGTAATATCTTTTCTGCTGTATGTTCCCATAGCACAATGCAACGGATCCTGTCTCTAAGCTTAAGCACTAGCTGAAATAGCTGCTTTCACTGTCCTTCCCTGTTTATCTCCTGCCTCCCCTTCCCCCTGTTTGTATACTACTGTAGACTGAAAATTGTATACTATGATAACATGGTAGATAGATAATGTAAGGATATGTATAATTTTATAACATGCAGAGAATAATATGTGCTGAGAAATCAGAGAGAGGAGCTGAGAGAAGTCTCTGGGAGGGAGGAGGGAGGGTTTGAAGGGGGAAAGGGTAAAAAATAATGAATATGATATGTTTTGATAATTTGTTATGTTGAAATTGTTAATAAAAACTTTTTTGAAGAAAGAAAGAGAAACAAAATAGATCCTGCCAACACAATCAATCAATCAATCAATCAATCAATCAATCAATTGTATACTAGCACGATGGGGTGAGCTCCCGTTGCTCGGTCCCTGCTCCTGCCAACCTAGCAGTTTGAAAGCACGTCAAAGTGCAAGTAGATAAATAGGTACCGCTCCGGCGGGAAGGTAAACGGCGTTTCCGTGTGCTGCTCTGGTTCACCAGAAGCGGCTTAGTCATGCTGACGACATGACCCAGAAGCTGTACGCCAGCTCCCTCAGCCAGTAAAGCAAGCGCCACAACCCCAGAGTCAGTCACGACTGGACCTAATGGTCAGGGGTCCCTTTACCTTTACCTTTTACATGATTCTTAAACATAGCCCTGTAGGAGAACGTCAGTCAGTGCAGCGCTTTCATCCATGTTGTAACATGCTTTTGGGAGGCAGTCTGGTTGCCACATTTTGCTGTAGCTGCAGATTCTGGATCAACCTTAATGATAGCGGTGGCAGCTGTATCTTCTCCTTCTCTAGCAGGTCCCAGGGCTGGCTAAAGCAACATAAAATCCCTCATTAAAAACAGTTGAAACAAATGGCCATCACGGAAATGGGCTGGGTTGTAAAAAAATGTAAAGGTAAAGAACCACTGGACAGTTAAGTCCAGTCAAAGGCAACTATGGGGTTGTGGCGCTAATCTCGCTTTCAGGCCGAGGGAACCGGCATTTGTCCACAGACAGCTTTCCGGGTCATGTGGCCAGCAGGACTAAACCGCTTCTGATGCAACAGAACACCATGATGGAAACCAGAGCGCACGGAAACACCGTTTACCTTCCCGCCGCAGCAGTACCTATTTATCTACTCGCACTGGTGTGCTTTTGAACTGCTAGGTTGGCAGTAGCTGGGACAGAGCTATGGGAGCTCACCTTGTTGTGCAGATTTAAACTGCTGACATTCCAATTGGCAAGCCCAAGAGGCTCAGTGGTTAGACCACAGCGCCACCCACTGGGTTGTAAAAGCACACATCTCAAGGGTCAAAGGCCACTTCTGTGGGGTGGGAGTTCCACAATGAGGAATAAGTCTCAGCAGGCTTCTGAGGTCTCCTCCAGGAGTTAATGCACTGAAGCAGGTGCTGACAACCTCCAGAAAACCCGGACGGACGACTATGTGAGAGTGCGGCAGAGGCAGCAATGGAACTGTGTTTCCTCCAGTCTTGTGCAATGAGAGTGAACAGGCTCCAATTTCCATTTAAATCAGTGGGGGCTTCTTCCAAATAAACAGGCGTTGGGCTGATCTGCGCAACTTTTTGTCTCAGTTGCAGTTGAGAGGTTCGGCCTTCCCTCTTGCTAAAGCACCACGGCTGTCTTTGTGAACAAATAGTACAAGTCTATGTAGGTTTGCTCAGCGCTGAAGCCCCACTGTGTTCCGTGGGTCTTACTCCCTTGTGGAGTATAGAAACCTTTAAGTTTTCCATAGGAACCCCCCAAAGTTGGTATCGATGCAGCATATTTCTGGAATGTTGTTGTCAGCATCTCAATATTCTCTTCCGCCAGCTGCATTATTGCACCATCAAAAACTGCTAACTTTCCTCGTTCCAAGCCATTGGAAGGCAAACGCAATGGCTTAGGCCTGCTTTTAATTTCTAGTCCATAGTGTCTTTCCCCCCTTCCATATGTTCCACATGTTATCAGTTAAATTTCTGGATATTATGAAACTGATGACACACTTGGCATTATGCTGTAGAAGAAAGCAGCATTTTCTTCTGTGTTTCTTACGAGACTGTTGTTTTAACTTCAAAATAAAGCTTTGCAAATTAAAAAGGGGGAGGAAAGAATGAGGGGGCACATATGATGCTAATTTAGATGTACTTCTGATGTTCATTTGGCATGAGATGTCCTTTGTTTATTTACCACTGAGGAACCTTTCTTTGAATGGTATTAATAAAAATGAGGGGGATGCAATTAATTCCCTTTATAAATCTATAAATCCATAAATTCTGCAGCTCAGCAGGTCTGGGAAGAAGGGTGAGAGGTAAATGCAATTTGAAAAGTAATGGAATAAATACTTTTTGATGATATGTGATATCCTGTGCAGGGGGTGGGACTCCCTGAAATGTATTTCTTTGACTTTGTCAGGTCCTCCCGGGCTTGATGGACTGCCTGGTCTTAACGGATCCGATGGCGATCCTGGCATCCCTGGTCAGAAGGGAGAAATTGGAAAAAGAGGGAAACCAGGTATATTTTTGGACTTGAGAATGACATATGCAGCCGACCTTTCCCCCTTTATTGGATCTTCTCTTCCCACCTCAATCCTTGGAGGCAGTTCTGAAGAAGTTCAGACAAATCATGTGGTGCTGTTCTCTTGCGGTGACTGTACCACTTCAGACTGGAGGTGGGAAACTGCATGTCTGAACACTGTCTCTGAAATATTCTTGGAGTCAAGAGTGGATTTCATGCTCTTTATTCAGCTCATAGTGGTGAGGAGGAATGGGAGTTCCCCCAGAACGTCTGCTTTATATACATTATTTACACAATGGGCCCCACGCAATTGGCTAATTCCAGGATTCTCTTGTAGGCCAATCAGGTTGCAGATTCACTTCCACCTGGAGCTGGATTGGGTGGCTCCTGTGGACCAATCAGACTGCTGCATTCTGGATCCTATTGTTCTAGGACCAATCAGACCGCTGCATTCTGAATCTTATTGTTCTAGGACCAATCAGACTGCTGCATTTTGGATCCTATTCAACTCAGTTCATAACAGTCTCATTTCAAAATCCCTCTCCATGTGGGAGACAGCTAGGTCTGTAGCACAAGGGCTGCAAGAATGGCAAAGTTTTGCTGTTGGTGTTGTTAAAAAGGGAAACAAACAACTTCCCCTTGTCTTTAAAAGTAAGCCCATCCCACCTGATAGCTCTTTGATTGGGCCTGGCCCTCCCCAAAGATTTGCCAACATCCCTCCCACTTTATTATTATTATTTATTTATTTACTTTTGAAAGGGATGAAAGGGTCTCCAAAAATGAGGTGTGTGCGCATGTATGTGGTCCAGCCTGAAGTGAGATTAGGGATTTGTTGCCCCTGTCAGGAATCAGATCTAGAACGTCTGAGGTAAACTGTGGTTACCTCATGCTTTCTGAACATGCCCATCGTGTATTTCCTTCTTCACTGGATGTAAAGCTCAAGGCAGAGTTGAGCCCCACGCTATTTCTTTTGAGAAAATTACTTCAAATAAGCTCAAACCCACTGGGAAAACATGATGGATTGAACTTGAAAAACAAAGCATTGTTCTGGAATGTCCACAGAGGGCACTCAATTCTACGATATTCCCTTCTGGGTGTAGTTAATCACGTCTCAAGAATGGTATTGAATGTTCCCTCTTTTCTACCAGGATTGAAAGGAGAACCTGGAGAGAAAGGCGAAAAAGGGGATCCTGGAGAAATTGGCTTGCCTGGGAAAGAGGGAGAGCGAGGAGAAAAGGGATCGAGGGGTCCCAAGGGGGACAAAGGTGATGCGAACAATGAACTCATGGCAGAAGGTGAGGTAACAGGCACTCTAAGAATGTATAACTCATAGAAAAACATCATATCAACGAACTCTTTGTGTTACTTGAAGCAATGGCCACAACCACCCCATATACATTTAAAGCACACTGAAATTGTACGGTTTTTCACAAAAAGAATCTTGGGAACTCTAGTTTTTTAAGGGTCTTGGGAATTGTTGCTCTGTGAGGAGTTCCAAGGATTCCTGAAGGGAAACCATATGTTTTAAAATGTGCTTTAAAGCGGTGTGATCAAGTGTTCTCCTTGGCAGGGTTTTCTTCCTATATACATAAAAATGTAAGACTGTCGTCACACAGCTCCCACTGTATGATTCGTTGTGCCGTGTCACTGGTGGCTTTCTAGTTGGATGAAAGGAGTGCTTAGTCACGGCAACATTTTAGGAGGAGTAAGATGCAAGAGGTTACCATGGGGGTGGTTTGTGTGCAATGGGGGGGTTGCACAAAAGGAGACGGGGGAGGCATGGACACAGGGGTGAAGGTGAAAATGGGTGCAAAGTGGAGCTGCGGAATTGAGTATCCTCAATTAGCTGGTTAAGATCAGTCGTTCTGAAAACTAGCCTCCCTGCAGCCTGGCGCCACCTCCCTGTAGATGTTGTTGGACCCCCATCACCCAATCATTGGTCATGCTAGCTGAGGCTGATGGAAGTTAGAGTCCAGCAACATCTGGAGGGCACCAGGTTAGGGAGAGCTGCTGCAAGCGATGCTGTTCAGACTCTGAAGATCCTCAGATTATGGTGTTGGGCATCCCAAAACAGGACATGACGGTGTTTAAATTTGGACCTTGGGTCTGGTAAGCTACAGTCATACCTCATGTTGCGAACGCTGCGGGTTACGTCTTTTCAGGTTGCGTCCTGCGGCGACCCGGAAGTACCGGAAAGGGTTACTTCCAGGTTTCACCGCTCGCGCATGCGCAGATGTGCAAAATGACGCCATGCACATGCGCGGAAGTGGCGAATCGTGACCCACGCGTGCGCAGACGCGGGTTGCGTTCTGTTCAGGTTGTGAACGGGGCTCCGGTACGGATCCCGTTCGCAACATGAGGTATGACTGTATAACCTTCTGTCCTCCTGTGAATCTACTTGATAGCATCTCTCAAAGGGATATGTGCCAAACTTGTAAATGTACTGGCCAAAGGTAACTCCTCTGCTTTGATGTTCTCTTAGGTGCAAAAGGTGAGCCAGGGCCTCCAGGACCCTCTGGTCCCCCAGGGCCTCCAGGACCTCCAGGGCCACCTGGGAAGCGGAAAGCTAAGGCCCAGGTTCAGGAGAAAATGTTCAGTTCAGAGTGTACAGGTGAGTGCTTTGTGATGCTGTAGCATATTGAGCTAAAATGTCGAGCTGCGGATCGGGGAGTCCCCAGTTCGAATCCTGCCTTTGTCACGAGGTGGCTTTAAGCATGCCCCTTCCTCTCAGCCTCGGTGCCCCCATCTGCAGTAGAGGGGACAATAATAGTAGCTTACCTTACAGGGTTGTGCTAAAGGTAACTGTCAAGGCTGCCTCAAGTCTCAGCTCACAAAAGACCAACGCCTATGTCTTCTTATATACAAAGGTGTTTATTGCAGTTCATGGTTTGCTTGACATCCTAGGCGCGCAGCCTTACGTCTCTTACGCTAGACCGCCGAAGTCCCCTCTGAGTCAGTCCCTCCCCTGCACCAATTTAAGAGACTTGCGCTGCTCCACCTCTTTCTCTCCTTCCTTTTCCGCAGGGTCCTTCTGCCCGCTGGGGTTGCGCCCCTTCTGGATTCCTCTGACGCTGAATCCCCAGACTGCTCTTCCCCCCCTCCTGCGGGCTTTGGGACCTGGCCCCTCCTCCGGGCTCCCTGCACTTCCGCGCGCCTCTACATTTGAACTAGGCGCGCGCGCCAAACCTCTAACTTTCCTTTTGACAGTTACACTACTCCCTTCACTGCTCCCCTCCCCTTCCGGAAGGGCGGCTTGCTCTGACCTCCCTCCTTTCTCTGCTCCCGGAGCTGCTTCCTCTGACACACTGGAAACTCCACCCCCTTCGCTGCACTCTGGTGGGGAGGCTGGTCCTGACGCCCAGCTGCCACTTTGGGATCCTCCGCTGGCCCCCTGCTCCTGACACGTCCCCCCTGGGGCTCCCCTGGCCTTAACCACTGGCGCCCCTTCTGGGAATCCTCTGATTCGCTGGAAAGACTCATGGAATCTCTTGAGTCATTGTCATCCTCTTCCTCGCTGGCTTGGAATTCCTCCCCATCGCTCTCCATCTCCTGCCTACCCTGTCCCTCTCTCCCTGAACCCCTGACAGTAACATACTAGATAATGCACGAGAATCACTTCGAACACTCGAAACTGCAATAAAAATGTTCGTTATTTTTATTAACGATATGTTATTTCCGTCTTTACCATGGGCAGACTTTGGGTGTAAAGGGTCTACTTTCTGCTAGAACCCCATCGATCTGAGCAGGGGCCAAACGGTGGTTCAGAAGCTTAGGAAGCCTCAAAACCAACTTGCCGCATCTCAAGTCTTAGCATTTAGGGTTGTGTCCAATCGTGGCACAGCCTTGCTCCACCAGGTGCCCTTCATATGTTCTGGAACACATGACACACATGCCGACATGTTAAGCAATGATAATCATGGGCCCCTTGAGTGGAACCTCGAGTTGTGGACATAATCCGTCCCGGAGACACGTCCGCAACTCGAAGCCTTCGCATCCAGAAGCGGCACATCTGCACACACACGTGGCACGATGTAGCGCTTCTGCGCATGCATGAGCAAAGCGGAATTTAGCACTTCTGCTCATGCGCGAGCGGCAAAACCCGGAAGTAACCCATTCCAGTACTTCCGGGTTGCCGCAGTACGCAAGACGAAAACACACAAACTGAAGCGAACACAACATGAGGTATGACTGTACATTTGAAGCAGGATCATGCCACTTTGAACAATGATGGCTTCCCCCAAAGAAGGCTGAGAGCTGTAGATTTTTAAGGGTGCTAGGATTGCTAGGAGGCCACCCTCTACACCCCTCACTGAGCTACAATTCCCAAAGCTCACCAGGAAGAGGGGTTGATGGTTTAAGAGCTCTGCAAAACGTAGGTCAGTAAGGGGAACAGAGGGACGTGGGTGGCGCTGTGGGTTAAACCACAGAGCCTAGGACTTGCCGATCAGAAGGTCGGCGGTTTGAATCTCCGCAACGGGGTGAGCTCCCGTTGCTCGGTCCCTGCTCTTGCCAACCTAGCAGTTCAAAAGCACGTCAAAGTACAAGTAGATAAATAGGTACCGCTCCAGCAGGAAGGTAAACGGCGTTTCCGTGCACTGCTCTGGTTCGCCAGAAGCGGCTTAGTCATGTTGGCCACATGACCTGGAAGCTGTACGCTGGCTCCCTCGGCCAGTAAAGCGAGATGAGCGCCACAACCCCAGAGTCAGTCACGACTGGACCTAATGGTCAGGGGTCCCTTTACCCTTTACCTTTAAGGTGAACAGAGGTCCTCCTGGAATCACTCCCTGCACCTTTAACAGGCTATATTTCCCAGAATTCTTTGTGGGATGCTTTAGCTGAGATTCCTGCATTACGGGGGCTGGACTAGATGACCATTGGGGGAAGGATTCCTCCCAATTCTACAATTCTGTTATTCTAGGACTGTTCAGTGTGGCATGATGCTTCTTTAAGCATTCAGTGCCGATTGAGACGATGGCTTCTCTGAAGCTGAAAAGATCTCGCAAAGGGTTATCGACTGTCTTTCATTTCCCTCCTCCATCACTCCTTCAACCTGGAATTCCGTTAGTGTGGCTGAAGTGAGCTTATCGGAGGCATGGGCCAATCCTGTGGACATACTTGGAGAGATAAGGGAGGAAAGGCAGATAATGCTTCCTTGTCCAGAAAAAGAAGCCTTTGAAAGTGAAACTTTGCTTTCATTATTGCAACGAGAGACCTGGAACTGCCAAGGTTGCATTTAAATTAAAAACTTCATCGGTGGTCCAGGGAAAGCTTGGCCTCACAAATGTGGTGCTTTTATCTTGACTTCTGATGGAAATGGAGCCCTGATGGAAATGGAGCCCTAAATGTTGCTGCATTTAGGTGGTGATGATGGATTCCTGCTCATTTTGCTGAGCGGGGTCCTTGACCTCTGGCTCAAAGTCCTGCCCTGGTACTTTACCAGCTTCACAGACTTTCAGCTCATCCTCTTGGACCACAAGCCATTTTGAGCAACCTAGACATTTGGTCTAGTCATCATTTTTGATGGGTTTTTTTTCTGATGAGTTCTCCCCAGTACATTAGTTCGTTGTGTTGCTTCTCCCTCTTCTGTTTCTGGATTGGAGTCATCAAGGCTTGATGGGTAAGAGGTGACATGAGAGAAGTTTATAATGGTGAATTTTGGACATGATGGAGATGTAAAAGATTTGGATTATTATAAAAGATGTAGGAGGAAATGATAAACAACAGGACCCACAAAGGGGAGGAGGGAAGTCCAGGAGATTCTTTGGAATCTTGCTTTTATGTTGGATATGTGATTGCAAAACTTTAATCTGAAAAAACGAATAAATAATTATTTTTAAAGAGAAGTTTATAAAATTATGCATGGTATGGAGAAATTAGTATTAGTATTAGCATACCACCCTATACCCTCGGGTCTCAGGGTAGCAACATAAAATCACAATATAAAAACACAAAACCCATAATAAAATAATAAATAATAATAAAAACAAAAACAACTTAATAATGCCCCCCTGCTCCCTGACACAGTTTAAAAGGGCATTGGACGTCAGTCAGCCAAAGCAGATAAAGAAAAGTTTCCCTCCTCTCATTTGTGGGCACCCAATGGAGCTGAGTGCTGGAAGATTCAGGACCAGGAAAAGAAAATGCCATATTTCCCCATGTATAAGACTGGGTTGTTGTTGTTTTTACCAAAAAATTAGGTTTAAAATTGGGGCTCGTCTTATACACGGGTAGTGCTGAGGGGTGTTTTCTTAACTTGGAGTCCCCCCAAATAGAGTCTTATACATAGAGTGCGCCTTATACACTGAAAAATACAGTACTACATCATGCAATGCACCATGGCCAGATGTTTCTAAAAAGCAGCTGCTGGGAACCACAGGAAGGGAGAAGGCTCTTGTGCTCGCATCCTGCTTACCAGTTTGCTATAGGCAGCTGGTTGGATCCTGGACTAGACGGCCCATTGGCCTGATCCAATGAGCTCTTCTTATGTTCCTACATTCTTCTCAAGCAATGTCCCATAAAGAACCTATTTCCCATTGTGCTATTTCTGGAGTGTCTCACCTTTCCTTTTAACACGGACCCTCGTAATGAGCCTGTGAAGTGGGAACGTGGTCCTTCTCCAGTCCTCGGAACAGGCTGTGCCACTTCAAGGATGGCAGAGGAGAACATTGCTCTTGCCCTCTCCTCCTTGTACTATTTTGGGGGCTGCTTGATTAGCTCACGCTAGGAACTAGCACCCCACAGATTCCATCCCATGCTGTGTCTAGCTTCTGTCTTATCTGGAACAAGAAGGAGGAGGGGGAGAAAGGGAGATTATTAGTGGTAGGGATATGAGCAGCTGTTTGCAAGGTAAGCCTTGGTTTGTGGGTAGGGGGCCTCCGGCGAACCCATGCTGATGCCTAAATCCATCCATTTCTCTCCTTGCTGTGACTCTGCTGGCAAGGCTAGAATTGGCGAGGGATGGAAGGGATCTCAGTCTCGCAATTTCAGCAGCCTCTGCTTAAATACCCCCCAGTGAAGCAAAACTCACCTCTTCCTCAGTCAGATTGTTCCTCTGCAATCAGCTCTCGGGCTTATATACTTCTGATTTTCAGACAGTTGCCATCTATGTATCTCCAGGCCTTGGATGAACTGGAAACACAGTCGTCCTTAGACTTTCTTGTTTCCTTTCGTCAAAACTTGTTCCCAAATGCAAATCCTGCTCTTGGCACATTGGGAATGCCAGCCTGGGCCTTGACTGCTCTACCCAAAAAGATAAAATGCTGTTTCAGAATGTTATGGGGCCTTGTTGAGAATGTGAACTGGGGGAAATGGATAGAGAAAGAGGGCATTGTCTCCTCGTGTAGCAACTCAGCACAACTTTGTAAGGTTGGCGGTTAGGCACTGGCTCAATGTTTTGTGGAGGGGAAGTGGTTGGCCTGCCCTTCCAATTGCTGCTGCTAGGGAATTCCGTTAAAGGAATCCAGGGGCTCGCCTTGCTTTTGTCCGAACCCTGTCAAGGGGCTAGGGCCACGCCAGAGCCCCTGGGAGCAGCTGGGGTGAGCTGTGAGACTAAAGCCAGCTTCTCACTCACCCAGGATGCTTTCCCTTACTGACCTCTGGTGGTGCCCAGTTGTCAGTCCTGTTCCTGCCACAGTGCAGGTTCAGGTAGTCTGGAACCATGCCTAAGCAACCACTCACATGCTGTAATCAATAAAGTTGTGGCCAAAATTATTGCCAAAAGCCTTAACCAAATTTCTGTGTCTATTGTGTCTTTAATTTTGGGGGTGGTTTTGGGGGTCTTCACACACAAATTGCCATGGCTGAAACACATGGTTAGATCAATGAGAGACACGCATGAACCAAGGGGCTTTTTATGTGCTAATGCATGTCTTGGTTTCACAACCATCTTGGAGAGATGATGAATTTATTTCCCCATCTTCGGCAGCCCTGAAAATATGGAAGTCATAACAAAACCCCAGCGGAAGCAAAACAGTGTTTTGAAAAGCCACTGGAAACAGTGGCTTTCCCTTAGCCATTCCTCCATTTAATTCTTGTTTTTGTTGTTGTGTAGATGGACTTGTCTCCAGCTAAGTAGGCCTGCTGTAAAATAGCCGTGTCCATTCACTTCAGATGGTCTACTCTTGAGTAGGTCTGGTGTTGGATGCAACCCAGGAATAGTTCATGCAACGTTAGATTGCATGTCAAAATAATAACAGATCTCTCTGTGTGTTCCTATCCTTTTGTGCACCGTTTAGGGGAGACCTGTGCTATCCCAAATGACGATACCCTGGTGGAGAAAGCGAAAGAGAAGGGACACCTTCGTCAGCACAGAAAACCAGGTAGCCTGTGCTAAAAATGATCGCTTTGCTTACTTAAGGCTGGCCAGTGGTGCTGATTTTGTTTCTCTCCCACTCCCCATCAGAATGCATCATTAAATCAATTGGAAACCCAGCTGAGATTATACAATTAAGACAGAGCTACGGAGCGTGGATGATGGATCTCGCCAACAGAAGTGATGAAAAAATTTGGATCGCTGAACATTTTACAGGTGAGGGTAGGATCCAAATCCTCACTCAGCAATGCAGCAGGATGGGCGACCGTGGGCTGCTTACACACACACTCTCAATCTAACCCATCTATACCTGAAGAAGAGTCTCCACCCCCATCGTTCAGCCCGGCTGCTGAGGTCCAGCTCCAGGGGCCTTCTGGTGGTTTCCTCCCTGCGAGAAGTGAAGTTACAGGGAACCAGGCAGAGGGCCTTCTCAGTAGTGGCACCCAGATGTCAAGGAAATAAACAACTATCTGACTTTTCGAAGACATCTGAAGGCAGCCTTGTTTAGGGAAGATTTAATGTTTGGTGTTTTATTGTGCTTTTAATATTCTGTTGGCAGCCGCCCAGAGTGGCTGGGGAAACCCAGCCAGATGGGCGAGGTGTGAATAATAACAACAATAATTTGTTGTTGTCGTCATCATCATATTGCAGGGTTTGTGGGGGACATAAAATGAGTGGGGAGGGAGGAAGAACCATGTACACCACTGTGAGCTCCTTGGAGGGAGGGACAGGATTAAAATGTACAAGTTCTCTACTTGTAGCTGCTTGGAAAACCTTTCTTAAGAACAAACATCCCAAAATGTTACAAAGCGCCCATGCAGTGTATTGCTAGATTCCTCCTTCTGCAAGCTTATTCAGCACCTGCTGTAGCTGGTTTATTATCCGAAGCACAGGAAGGAGATGGTCTTTGCTTGGAGGGCTTGCAAAACGTGCATGGCACAGGAGAGATTGATAAGAATCGAGAGTAACCAAAGAATGACCCGAGGAAAAGAGCAGGCAGGTGGGAGCGTGTGATGGCAGTGGCAGAGGGAATCAGGTCAACCAAAGGCCTGGTTAAAAAGGAACATTTTTGCCTGGTGCTTAAAGGTGTGTAATGAAGGCGCCAGGCGAACCTCCCTGGGGAGAGCATTCCACAGACGGGAAGCCACTGCAGAGAAGGCCCTGTTCTTGTGTTGCCACCCTCCTGACCTCTCAAGGAGGGGGCACATGAAGGAGGGCCTCAGAATATGATCTCAGGGTCTGTGTAGGTTCATATGGAAAGAGGTGTTCCTTGAGGTATTGCAGTCCTGAGCCATTTAAGGCTTTATAGGTCAAAACCAGCACTTTGAATTGGGCATGGGAACTAATTGGGAGCCAGTGCAGTCAGACCAGGATCGGTGTAATATGCTCAAACCGTCTTTCTCCGGTGAATTCTGCACCAGCTGAAGTTTCCAAACCGTCTTCAGAGGCAGCCCTACACATTTCAGTAATCTAACCTATAAATGTAAAAAACAAACCAACTTTTTCCATGCCTTCCTCCCCTGAACAGGCCACATGATTAAAGAATACGAGGACATCTCTGCGCTGTGGAACAACAGCTACAGCACCATCGAGCTCCCTTGGCAATATTACGGCTGCGGACATGCCATCTATAACAACACCTTGTACTATCAGCGTGTCGGACGCAACATTATTGTGAAGTAAGTAGCTGAGGGGGCAGCAAAGGGGCTTCTGCTACTAAGCTGTGCCACGTCAGGGAGAGGCGACCTCTGCTGAATGGCAGTAAGGTAGCTCCGCGGTAGAGGATCTGCCACCTCCCAATTCTGGAGCCCTGGAGAGCCGCTGCCAGGAATTGCAGACCACACTGGGCTCCACGGACTGATGGGGCGAGTCTTTGTAAGGCCATTTCCTTTGTTTCTCATTGCTGCCATTCAACAGAGACTCGCTTTGAACAGCTTGCTTCGCCCAGGGCTTAGCTTATGGGACGAGTGTGTATCGTGAGGCTCCGTTGTGTGGGAGCTGGGATTGCAGCCTTGGCGTTATTGGGGTGGCTGGATGCTATTTCGAGAGCGAGCGAAAGATTCCCTCTGCTCTTTTGCCCTTTCCAGCATCGCCCTTGATGCTGATGCCAACAAAAACATTTGCCTTTGAGAAGCAGGTGTGAGCGCCTCCTTGACCTTTCTCCCTAGGGAAGCAGGCAGAGAAATGAGAGAGGTTCCCGGGATCGTAATTTGCTCTGTTCGAGACACTCCCTGTTTCTTGGCAAGGGGGTTTAGAGATGCCAGACCTCTTCCAACAATGGTCTTTCATCTCAGCAGTGGAAGCGGCTGAAGAGGGAGGAATATAATGTCTTAACTGTCCATGATTAACACTCAGAGGGAGATTGATGGTGCTAGCAGCCGTTTGAAGACTTTGGGGAGTTGGTTCCTCTGACAAAAGACTTGTAAACCAGGCAAGAGACAGATTGCAGACCTGATAGCATCAGGCAGTATCTTATGTTCCAAGACATGTGCATAAAGCTTTCATGCTTGGTAGTGGCACCCAGATTGCAGAACTGCCCCCCAAAAGGGGTTTGATTGGCCCCATCTCTTTTGAGTTTTAGGAGTGAGGCATGTACCGTATTTTTCGTTCTATAGGGCGCACCGGCCCATAGGACGCACCTCGTTTTTTTTGGGGGGGGAAATGAATAAAAAAAATTATTTCCCCCCCCCCGCGGCTGCCGCCCCAAGCCTCGCTTGCTTCGGGCTGCAGGCTACCGCCCCAAGCCTCGCGCGCTCGGCGGGACCTCCCACCGGGCGCGCGAGGCTTGCAGACACTCGCCTAAAGCACGGGGTGCCCTCCGGAGGGCTCCCCGTGCTTCGGGCGACAGGTTGCCGCCCCAAGCCTCGCGCGCTCAGCGGGACCTCCCGCCGGGCGCGCAAGGCTTGCACACTCGCCTAAAGCACGGGGAGCCCTCCGGAGGGCTCCCCGTGCTTCGGGCGACAGGCTGCCGCCCCAAGCCTCGCGCGCTCGGCGGGACCTCCTGCCAGGCGCGCAAGGCTTGCAGACACTCGCCCGAAGCCTCGAGCGCTCGGCGGGACCTCCTGCCGGGCGTGCAAGGCTTGCAGACACTCGCCCGAAGCATGGGAGCCCTCCGGAGGGCTCCCGTGCTTCAGGCGACAGGCTGCCGCCCCAAGCCTCGCGCGCTCGGCGGGACCTCCTGCCGGGCGCGCAAGGCTTGCAGACACCCGCCGGAAGCACGGGAGCCCTCCGGAGGGCTCCCCGTGCTTCGGGCGACAGGCTGCTGCCTCAAGCCTCGCGCGCTCGGCGGGACCTCCTGCCGGGCGCGCAAGGCTTGCGGACACTCGCCGGGGCTGCAGGCTGCTGCCTGCAAGCCTTGTGAGCCCGCGGGAACTCCCACCGGGCTTGCAAGGCTTGCGGATAGCTTCCTGAAGCCTGGAGAGCGAGAGGGTCGGTGCGCACCGATGCCTCTCGCTCTCCAGGCTTCAGCGAAAGCCTGCATTCGCTCCATAGGACGCACACACATTTCCCCTTCATTTTTGGAGGGGAAAAAGTGCGTCCTATGGAGCGAAAAATACGGTATTTTTCTCTTTGGCTGTGCCTTTGATCTGTTTTGCCTTCCTGCTTTGGCAATGTATTTTGAAACTGACCTATGGTGCAATTCTATGGTGTAGATGTGTGTGAGTACAGTGGTACCTCGCAAGACGAATGCCTCGCAAAACGAAAAACTCACAAGACGAAAGAGTTTTTCATTTTTTGAGTTGCTTCGCAAGACGAATTTCCCTATGGGCTTGCTTCGCAAGACGAAAACGTCTTGCAAGTTTGTTTCCTTTTTCTTAAAACCGTTAATACCCAGGGTGCATTGCTTGAAGAGGTGCAGTTGCGACTTGACTTCGAGGAGCAACTCATAGCACCGTGCTTCGCAAGACGAAAAATTCGCAAGACGAAAAAACTCGCAGAACGAATTAATTTCGTCTTGCGAGGCACCACTGTATAATCAAATGCAGTTCATCCACCTCATAGTTTGACCTGGCAGCCTCTTGTTCTGTCCATTTCTGGGATTCAACTTTTTTTAAAAAACTGTTTCCCTCCCACTGTGAACAATGGCTTGTGGAAAAACAAGGCTTATTCAAATGGCAGTTTATGGTCCCGTCTTGCTGTCCCTATGGAACGCAGTTGTTGCTGTGGTCTAAACCACTGAGCCTCTTGGGCTTGCTGATTGGAAGGTCGGTGGTTCGAATCCCCACAACAGGGTGAGCTCCCGTTGCTCTGTCCCAGCTCTTGCCAAGCCAGCAGTTCGAAAGCATGCCAGTGCAAGTAGATAAATAGGTACCACTACAGTGGGAAGGTAAACGGCATTTCCGTACGCTGCTCTGATTTGCCAGAAGCGGCTTAGTCATGCTGGCCACATGACCCGGAAGCTATACGCCGGCTCCCTCAGCCAGTAAATCGAGATGAGCACCGCAACCCCAGAGTCGGCCACGACTGGACCTAATGGTCAGGGGTCCCTTTACCTTTACAGTGGGAAGGTAAACGGCATTTCTGTGTGCTTTGGTTTGCGTCACGGTGTCCCATTGCACCAGAAGCAGTTTAGTCCTGCTGGCTACATGACCCGGAAAGCTGTCTGTGGACAAACGCCAGCTCCCTCAGCCTGAAAGCGAGATGAATGCCGCAACCCCATAGTTGCCTTTGACTGGACTTAACTGTCCAGGGCTCCTTCACCTTCACCTTTTTACCTTGTTTCCCTAAACCATGGTTAACACTAAACCCAGGTTTGGTTCAGTGATGGTTAATTGAAAACGGAAGTGAAACCTTGCAGCCTTGTTGTGGCTGTACCAGAGGAGAACCAGAAACTGAGCAGACTGCACTCCCATGACCCTGCGGTTCCAAACCGTAGTTTAGTGTTACATACAAACACAACCATTGGCTCTCTTGGGGGCAATGATAAGAGAGACAGGTGCATTCTGCTATTCCCTCTTAACTCTTAAGTGGCATGTTCTGTACTTTGAGGAACAAAAGGGAACATCATTTTTAAGAGCTTCTTTGCCTTGCTTGCTTTGAATGCTGAACTGTCCTCAGAACGACCTTTTCCTTCAGCAAACTTTGTGGCAGACTTGCTTCTCAGCCATGTGGTCCCAATCTTAGGGTGCATGCTCGTCATTTTGGACCCTTAAACCACATTCAAAGCTTCTTTCCCTCAAAGAAACCTGGGCACGGTGGTTGATTCCCCACAGAGTTTTACTTCTTAGCAATCCTTAATAAACTACAGTTCCCAGAATTCTTTGAGGGGAAAGCTTGCCACGAATGTGCTTTAAAGGGATAGCATATGCAGCCTGTGGGTAGCATCATTTCCTTTGGGATGTGTCTTGCGGTCAACTCAACTTTTAGAAGATTCTCAAGAAACTGTATCAGCCCTTTTTTGGGCACTTTTTTGAATTACGTTTCAGGGCTTCCTGATCTCTGTGACTCAGATATCCAAACATTTCCAGAATATTTTTTTTTAAACAATGCTTTTGTACTTCAGAGACATGCTCATCCTGCCTCTGGGAAGGCAAGAACAAGGCCAGAATGCTTGCTCAATCTCCTTGCTTGGAAAGAAATTTTGTTTTTATTTCCTGGTCCCAGTTTATTTGATTGGATTTCAGAATTTGCCACCCAAGTCATTAGAACGTAAGAAGATTCCCATCTAGGCTGTCATCCTGTTTAGGGAAGTTTTTAATGTTTGGTGTTTTATTGTGTTTTTAATATTCTGTTGGGAGCTGCCCAGAGTGGCTGGAGAAACCAAGCCAGATGGGCAGGGTATAAACAAACAAACATCATCATCATCATCATCATCACAGCAACCACCCAGATGCTTGTGGGAAGCCCAGAAGCAAGGTAAAGGTAAAGGTACCCCTGCCCGTATGGGCCAGTCTTGTCCGACTCTAGGGTTGCGTGCTCATCTCGCTCTAGAGGCCGTGAGCCGGCGCCGTCTGAAGACACTTCCGGGTCACGTGGCCAGCGTGATGAAGCTGCTCTGGCGAGCCAGCACCAGCGCAGCACACGGAAACGCCGTTTACCTTCCTGCTATAAAGCGGTACCTATTTGGACTTCCGGGGTGGCGCCATCGGTAATGGCAGATTCCCTCTGATCCGGAGGGACCAGCTCCACGGAAAACGGGTCTTTCCCGCTACGGCGAAGCGGGGACCCTTTCAAAAATCACAGGCGGATGAAGCCTGTGACCATGGGACTCGGTGGGCACCTTTAGCGCCCCCCCAACCCGTAAAGGAACCCATTTACGGGCTCCGGAGCGAAGAGGGGGAAGTGGCGCGGTGCTGAGAGTCAACTGCTTCTTCCGTGGAGCGAAACCGCACAGCCGTTGCCGGAGAGTGCTGCCTTTATCCTGGGACAATTTGGCTTTTAAAACAATCACCCGTGAGTACTTTAATTTCGGACAATTGGAGTATAAATAATGACCTGCGAGTAGAAAGGAAAATTGGACTAAGAAATTCTTCTCAATTTGGCACTGAAACGGGAAGGTCTAAACAGGAAGTCAGCCTTCCGTTTCTTGTAGATAGATTAAAGCAAAGACATGGCAAACTAGAGTTCAGAAAATCGTTTGTAAAGGATTAACTTTCATCATCTAAAATTGTTGAACCCCTCTCGGAAGCAGGAGAAGAGGGGGGATTTTTTCCGGACTGTTTAAACCTGCAGAAGAGAGTGTAAAGAAAAGTAATTTTCCACCGTCTTGAACCTGGGAGCGGGATGTCAAGACTGACGTTTTTGGGAAGCTCATTGACTATAGACAAACGTCTTTGACAGACAGTTAAAAGAAGAGAAACATAGTGATTCCATTGTTCTCCTTCGCATTTTAAAGGAACAAATATTGACAAAATATCTGAAAAAGGAAACTTTGTTGTTAGATCTGCCTTTAAAAGAAAAGAAAAAAAAGAAAAGATGGATACAAATAGAAGTTCTTCCCCTAGAGGGAGCCTGTGAAACTGTTACTAAATCTGAACCGGGGAGCTCTGCAGCTGCAACAGATTAAGATCGTGGGAACAGACTTCTGACCTTCATAACAATGTATTCAGAAGCTCTGGTGCGTGCTTTCTGCAAAACAAGTGCCCTATTGGAACAGTTACATGAGAAGACGGATTTGATGACTGTTGCGATCAGAAATTTTGGACAGGTTGTGGGTAACTATATAGAATCCACCCAGGAATCAACTCAGGAGTGTGCTCTGACAGATCAGATGAGGGAAGAGGATGTTGCTGGACCTTGGGTGGCAGAGATGGAGGGAGCTGTGGCCCAGCAGGAACATGAGTTGTTGGATTTGACAAATGAACTAGGAAAAAGCCAGATTTGGAGAGATACAGTTTTGTTTGGTTTGGAAATGGGGGGTTGGATAGACCCCCCTATGCAGGGATGTTTTGACTCTTCAAGTCTGGCAATGGGCCGTGAGATGTTTGGGGTTGTGGTGGTTCTTAATTCTGGAGGGACTTTGAAATATGTTTTTAAATACCACATGGAGTTTAGTGTGGAATATGGAAAAGGGGCTGATTTGTCGAGAAGGGACAAAAATACTGTCAAGCTGGAGTTTCCACGAGTAAAAGGAGCAGGAGACAAAGTAAAGTACAGGTATAAATATGAAGAAGAGCTGCGGAAGGGACATGGAAGAGACTTAAGGGCCTCGGACATAAGATTACCAGGTTAATGAGCTAGATTGATGGGATAGAAAGGACTGACAAAACCCGGGACCAGGAGGAAGAGACGTTGGATGAAGATTGGAAGAAAGTTTTAAATTTTTTTTATTAGGATTGTTTTATAAAATTGATGAATGTTAGAAAAATGTTGGAACGAAATTATTTGGCTTTAGCAGAAATGTTAAAAGAATTATGTAAGAATATGTTATGGTTATGAGAAATTGGTATAAATAAGATCTAAGTTTTAAGTTTTAGGGTCTTTTATAGTAAGATAAGGTTAAAATAGATTAAGGTAATTTAATGACAGAATACTATGAAAAAGGGAAAGGATTTGCTGTGATAATTAACAACTAGAATACAAAAAAGGAGGAGTGAGGAGGTCGATGAAATAAGGTAATGACAGTTAAGGATTTGGGAATATTGGATTTGTTTTTAAATTTTTGTGGTTTATTTTTGCTTTTTGATTGTGTTGTGTTACGTGTTTTGTTGTTATTTTTTATTTTTATTTTTATTAATTTGTATTGTTTGATTGTGGATTGTGGCTTGTTTTTCCTTTGTTTTTTTTCCTTCTTTTTCTCTTTGTCTTTTCTGTAATTTTAAAATTCTTAATAAATATCATTTAAAAAAATAAATAAAGCGGTACCTATTTATCTACTTGCACTTAAGAGTGCTTTCGAACTGCTAGGTGGGCAGGAGCTGGGACCGAACGACGGGAGCTCACCCCGCCGCGGGGATTCGAACCACCGAGCATACGATCGGCAAGGCCTAGGCACTGAGGTTTTACCCACAGCGCCACCCGCGTCCCTCCAGAAGCAAGACACAAGTGCAAATCTCCTCTTGTGATTTCCAGAAAGCACATTCAGAGGCATGTTCCAGTTTAGGCATTGATTTCCATTGAAATCAGTCCAGTCTTCTGCTGCCTGTAAATTGGACATTTGCCGTCCAAATGGCATCTAATTTGCAGGCATTCTTCTCATCCCTCAGGACATAAAACCTACTGGAATTTTGACAGATTGAACAAAGGACTCCATTTTTATTGGTAACTGAAATGACTCACACATGGATCCAAACTTGTATGAGCTTTCCAATCTGCCTGTTTCAATGTTCTCTCCTCCTCTTCTCCCCAGAAAACCTTTCTTTGGTGATCTCTACAGAGGCCCCGTCCGCACTATGCATTTAAAGCAGTATCATCCCACTTTAAACTACACTTTCTGGGAAGGGCAGTTTGTTAAGGGTGCTTTGTGTGGTTCGGAGACTCCTATTCCCATCACAGAGCTACAATCCCTCTTCCCAGGGAACTCTGGCAATTGTTGCACTACGAGGGGAAGTAGGGTATGTGTGGTATAAAAACTAGTCTACTTTGGTAAAAAATTATATTCATTGCTTCCTCCTGTTTCCCCCCTGGCCCAGTCCACCACTGTTCACAATGTTTTCAACACTGTGATACATCACCAGTTGAACCACAATATACCAATATATCATGATGTCTGAAATAAGGATGGAGCTCTGTGGAGGCATCGGCTGGCTTCATAATAATAATAATAATAATAATAATAATAATAATAATAATAATAAATTTATTTATATCCCACCCTCCCCAGCCGAAGCCAGGCTCAGAGCGGCTAACAACATTAAAATGATACAACATTCTAAAATCATTTCATTCTAAAATCAATTCAAATCAGATTAATGGCAACCACTGGGCTAGAGTTCTGTGAGGATTGCCAAAGGAGGGGGTCAGGCTGTGCCTTGGCCAAAGGCCTGGTGGAACAGCTCTGTCTTGCAGGCCCTGCGGAAAGATGTCAAGTCCCGCAGGGCCCTAGTCTCTTGTGACAGAGCGTTCCACCAGATTGGAGCCACAGCTGAAAAAGCCCTGGCTCTGGTTGAGGCCAGCCTAACCTATCTGTGGCCCAGGACCTCCAAGATGTTTTTGTTTGAAGACTGTAAGGTCCTCTGTGGGACATACCATGGCTTTTCCTGCATTGTGATTTTTGCTGGCGCTTGCTCTTGTGATTCGCTGCCCCTTGCAAATGGCAGAGGAGAATTGAGCCGGCTGAGTTAAAAGGGGCTGCAGGAATCGAGAGAAGCATTGGCTGGCTTCACGGTTTTTTCTGCATCGTGATTTTTGCATAACACACACACACACACACACACACACACACACACACACACACACCGTGATTCACAATATATTGCCAGGTCCAAATTTTTAATAAGGAATGGGGAAAATGCACAACTTTTCTTAAAGACCATTGTAAACAGCTAAAATCGTTAGTAGGATTGGAATAGCACTTGTAGTGTAAGGTTGATTCTGGACATAATGGAAGAGGTAAAGGTTTTGTATTAGCATAAAAGATGCGGGCGGAATTGATTGATAATAGGACCCACAAAGGGGAGGATGGAAGTCCAGGAGATTCCTTGGAATCTTGTTTTTATGATTTATGTTTGATATAACTCTGTAAAGTTGAAAAACCAAATAAATAAATTTAAAATATATATATTATGCAAGCAATATCATGATATGGACTTCGGTTTTGGATGATATATTGATATATCACCCAGCTCTGGTAGGTTACCCAGAAGGGAATGTGGACTTGGAATAATAGAGGTTCCCAATTTGGATTCATGTTCTTCCATTCCTTTCAATATAAAACACATGGAAACAAATGGGGTGTGTTAATTTTGTTTTATAAACCCCTGCCCTCGTGCCGCTTGAGCCGCTCTGAAGTATTTTGCTTCAAACCCTCTCCGCAGGTACAACTTCGCGACACAGTCCTCGCAGACGCTCTCCATCAAAAACGCCTGGTACTTTGAGCGCAAGTATCTCTTCGGCGCTTCCAAATCCTACTTCAGCGTCGCCATGGACGAGAATGGGCTTTGGGTGCTCTACCTCTCGAGGCCAGACGAGCACATCATGGTGGCGCATGTAGACGAGGACACCTTCTCGGTGCTGCGGTACATCAACACCACGTACCCGCAGTCCAAAGCCGGCAACGCCTTCGTTGCCTGCGGGGTTCTGTACATCACCGACAAGAACCACACGCATGTCGCCTTTGCTTATGATCTCTGGAGGGAAAGGCAGCTGGACACCAGCTTTGAGTTGAAACTGTCGCTATCCGACGCAGGCTTTGCTTCCAAAGTTTCCCCAACCAAGCAGGACGATTCGTCGTTTGTGCCCGTTCTGGCCATGCTTTCCTATAACCAAGGGGACAAGCGCCTCTACACATGGGAGCATGGCTTTCTGATGCAATACCCTGTCCATTTTGTCGGCTGAATGCGCTTGGTACCAATCCACGAGGGCCATCTTTGCCTGTTGCCAATATTGGAGATTCGGCTCTCTAAACCTTTCGGCGAAAACAATTGCACACCTCCCATTTGAGGAGAGTCGCAAAGCAATGTGCATACAGAGCAGCTTGTTCTCATCCCCCTTTGTGTCCCCAGTGTAGATGTTTAGATTACGTAGGCTTCTGTGGCTTTGCAGAACAAAGGCCGCTCAATGTCGTAGCGAGTGCTGCATGCTGGCAGAAGCCCAGTGAGGCTTTTGTTTCGCAGAGAGGCTGTGGTGTGGGAGGAAGGCCCTTTCAAATGCCATGTGCTTCGAGCGCGAATGGAGGCATGTGGCACCTCTCGTCAAAGGACCCCAGGAACGTATCTAAAAGCCTGCAGCTCCCATGTGGTGCTCCTTCTCACGACCTGGGTCACAGTGGCACCATACAGTACATTTAAGGCATGCTTGGACCACTTTCGAGTTGGAACAGTAGTTTTTGTTAAGGGTCCTGTGTGTCAGAGGTCTTGGGTTGTCTTCTAGCAACCCCCGACACCCTTTAACCGACTGCAGTTGCCGGATTTGTTTTGGGGGAAGCCAGAGCTGTAAAAGCGGTGCAAGTGTCCTTTTAAATGTATGGCTGGGGCCCACGCCAGCCATTTTTAAACATGCGAGGGCTGTGCCTGGTGTTCCCCGCCCACTAGCACAAGGCTTTTGCACTAGCAGGTGGGAGATTTTAATGTGGTGGAACGGTGGCATCCAATGCAACAGAAACTTGTTGCACAGCAGCGACCCACATGCTTGTGCATTATCTCAGGCAATGAAGTCCTCCTGCCGCAAAGCACCTTGCCAGCAGAAGAAGTATACCACTAAGTGACAAACGTCGGGATGCAACCTTCAGTTTATTGGTCTCTTGGCTGCGTGTGGCTGCTTAGGTGGTCATGCATATTGCTCTATATCAGCCTTTCTCAACCTGTGGGTCCCCAGATGTTGTTGAACTACAACTCCCATCATTGCTAGCTAGCAAGGCCAGAGCTCAGGGATGATGGGAGTTGTAGTCCAACAACATCTGGGGACCCACAGGTTGAGAACCGCTGCTCTAAATGGTCTTATGGGCCATCTCATCGAACCCTGATCTCATTCTAGGAATCTTGCAACCCTCACAGCAGGCGTGCGGCAGCCTTGGCCCTCCAGAAGTTGCCAGACGACAACTCCTGTCATTCCTAGCTTCCTGTGGCTGATAGGAGCTGTTGTTCAGGGACATATGGACGGCCACAGGTTCCTCACACCTGCCTTACAGCTTCTGCTAGAATATCTCGTGACAAAGAGGCCACGATTGCCTTGGAGCAGCCACTTCTCCTGTCAAAACAGCTATTTGCGTGACGTTTTGCCAGAATAGGATGCCCTCCCATTTCAACTGGCTGTTGTTTCATACTCTGGAGCAAAAGAGGGAGATGTATGTGGAACATACTGGGGGAAAATGCTTCTTCAAACACCCCCTTCAGCTCTCTTTAACATGATAGTCTCCAGCCCTGCTCTGTCCACTGAAATGTGTCCTTGAATCCGAGATATCATTTCAATTCTTTGTTGAAGTCACCCCCCCGCTCCCAGCACCTTTTAGCTGTAATCTTGGCTGAATCTCTCTCTCTCTGTGTATATATTTCTCAAATGGGGAATAAAGATGCATGTATGACAATCTTGGCAAATAAAGGGGACATTGGCCCAACTGGAATGGGCTTCCTGACTCCTGTTGCAGCCAAACACGGCTGTTTTGGAGAGATGTGTCGAACGGTGATGGGCATGGCGGTGTTTGTTCCTGGCAGAGAAATGTTTCTCAAAGTGAGAAGTCTGCAAAAGTAATCCATCAGAGGGCAACCTCTGGAAAAGATCTGGGGTAAAACAGATCCAGAAACAGAGGTACCCCTACCACTGCGAAGCCAAAACTAACTTTATATGCATCCTTGCATTTAATGCTCAAAGCTTTTTGAAAAAAAGAAATTAAAATAGCATTAGCAGGTAAGTGTGTGAAAGAGAATTGTACTCTGTGGAAGAATGTAAGCCTTCCCTTTCATTTTTGACACTGCTCCCGAGGAAAATCCCTCTTCAAATAATGGGGGAAAACCAAATAGAAGATGTAGACCCCCCCTTTTTTACACACACAGAATTGTGTGCAAGGAATAGGAGCCCAGCATTGGTGCAAGACGACTGTGTGCAAGACATGGGATCTGGAGAGTGGGGCAATATTATTATTATGATGCCTCTGCAGTAGAATGGTGGGGCATGAAGAGAGAGGAAGGTGTGTCCTTTCCGTGTTCTAGGATGCATCTGAAAGTTCATACGTTATAAAATCTAAAATAGTACTCTGTCTTTTCTTCATGAAGCTTATAAGAACACCATGGGACGCGGGTGGCGCTGTGGTCTAAACCACTGAGCCTCTTGGGCTTGCTGATCGTAAGGTCGGTGGTTTGAATCCCTGCGACAGGGTGAGCTCCTGTTGCTCTGTCCCAGCTCCTGTCAACCTAGCAGTTCGAAAGCAAGTAGATAAATATGTACCGATGCAGCAAGAAGGTAAACGGCATCTCCATGCGCTCTGGTTTCCGTCATGCTGTTCCGTTGTGCCAGAAGTGGTTTAGTCCTGCTGGCCACATGACCCAAAAGCTGTCAGTGGACAAACACCGGCTCCCTTGGCCTGAAAGCAAGATGAGCGCCGCAACCCCATAGTCGCCTTTGTCTGGGCTTAACTGTCCAGGGGTCCTTTACCTTTTTTTTATAAGAACACCGAGCTTTAGAATAGAGATGGGGGGCCTCTTTCTCTGGACCCACTTTGTACCCCCCCTTGAGTATATTTGCCTGGCCGTAAGGTGCCCTTGAGAAGCGGGTGGTGCTGTGGGTTAAACCACAGAGCCTAGGGCTTGCTGATCAGAAGGTCGGCAGTTTGAATCCCCGCGATGGGGTGAGCTCCCGTTGCTCGGTCCCTGCTCCTGCCAACCTAGCAATTCGAAAGCACGTCAAAGTGCAAGTAGATAAATCGGTACCGCTCCGGTGGGAAGGTAAATGGCGTTTCCGTGCGCTGCTCCGGTTTGCCAGAAGCGGCTTAGTCATGCTGGCCACATGACCCGGAAGCTGTACGCCGGCTCCCTCGGCCAATAAAGCGAGATGAGCGCTGCAACCCCAGAGTCGGCCACGACTGGACCTAATGGTCAGGGGTCCCTTTACCTTTAAGGTGCCCTTGAACTCACCCTTGCCTGGATGGAAAGGAGAGAGAGGGGTGCATGAAGTAACTAACCTGCTGTATTGTGCCACCCACTTTTGCCTCTGGCCCCACCCACTGGCATGTGGCCCCTGGAAAGTTGCCCCGAAGGGAAAGCAGCCCTCTGGATGAAAGGAGGTTCACCAGCTGAGCTGGGATAGCTCAGTTGGTAGAGCATGAGACTCTTAATCTCAGGGTTGTGGGTTGGAGCCCCACATTCGGCAAAAGATTCCTGTTTTTGCATAGGGTTGGACTAGATGACCCTTGGTGTCCCTTCCAATTCTACAATTCAAAGTGCTGGTTTTGACCTATAAAGCGCCTTAAACAGCTCAGGACTGCAATACCTCAAGGACTGCCTCTTTCTATATGAACCTACACTGGATCCTGATATCATCTTCTGCGACTCTCTTTTATGTGCCTCCTCAAGAGGTTCAGAAGGTGGCAACACAAGAACGGGGCCTTCTCTGCAGTGGCTCCCCATCTGTGGAATGCTCTCCCCAGGGAAGTTCACCTGGTGCCTTCATTACACATCTTTAGGCACCAGGCAAAAAACGTTGCTTTTTAACCAGTCTTTTGGTAGACCTGATGAACATCCCATACCCTTTTAAAATGTGGCTCTTTTTTGGGGGGGAGGGTATTATTGGGTTATTGATTTTATTTTTATTTTATATACTGTGATTTTTTTTTATGTGAACCGCCCTGAGACCTCATATATTCCAGCTGCTGTCTCCTTAAACACCTGGGGGCAACTGTTGCTATTACGCCTTACAAAGTCTCACGCTACCACGACGACAAGGACTGTAGGGCATTCCGTGAAATAAAAGGAATTTATTTAACTTACAAAGGTAAAACTAACAAAGGACATTTGCTTTCTTTTCATATATATATATACTTTGCAGCTTGCACTTAAAATTGCCTTTAGACAAAGGTGCATTTTACTCCATCTCATTCATATATATATATATATATATATATATATTTCTCATTCATATATATATATATATATATATATATATATATATATATATATATTTCTGATTTAGAATACAGCACAGACACATAAATTCTCACTGGAGGGGGAAAAAATACAATTTGTTAAACATTTAAATACACAGACATCAGCTCCGTTATATCTTGGTAAAGAACGTGTCTTCCTGTTTTACAACAGAGAAAAATACATCTAAGTATGACAAACAATAGCTGGTATATTACAAGCAAACAATATTGACCTCTGCATAGTTTATACAATATGCCGTGGAAACAGTTCAAGATTACCAATTTTGTCAACTATTTACTAGCTGGCCACATGTAAGCCTGACATTCATCTGAAATGTGGCATGGGTCTATATCAGTAGTTTCATCTACAGCTTCGCTTTAAGAAAGATCAATCTGTATGGTTTTTTCCCCTTCCTTCTCTTCCTTTTTTTTTTTTTTTGCCCTACGTAAAAATAAAACTCAGAACTCAAAAGGATGACTAGAAAGAGGTTTCCTGTTCACAACAAACACTTAGTGCTCACAAATTACATTCCTAACGCAAAAGGCAGGACTCGAAAAAATGGCAGGGGGAAGGAGTAAGGAGGAATCTGATATTAGGAAAATCACGGCGCCTCGGATGAAAACAGAGACCTGTGTTGCATTCTCTCCCACCCTCGCCTCTCAGTAGTGAATTGAACTGATGTCATAACGTGGCTTGGTTTTCTGCCCTGTCCGGCCAGTGGTATGGATTGGAATGTGGAGAAATGCAACAAGTTGTATCGGGACAGTGGTCAGCTGTACCAAACGTTAGGAAAGGGATTGGGGAGGATGCCACAGGGCCTCCGTTTTGGTGGGTGGCCCGGTTCGTTTCAAAACGTCTTCAGCGCAAACAGACAGAAAAATCAAAAGTGGCATACGATTCCAAGGAAAACCCCACAGGTTCCGAGAAATGTTATTCTGTGCAAATTACAGTACTCCAACGGTGCATTAATGCTAATTCGGGGAGGGGAAAACATAACAGGGGAGTCTCGGCATCAAATAATATACACATCAGCCCACAGTACATTCCCCATTGCACACAGCTTCACGGATTGTGTGGTAGTCACATTTTCATAGTGGCATGACCCAAAATAATAATAATAATAATTAATAACAACGACATCAACAATGTAAAATCACGCTCACTTCGAATACCCTTCATTATAGCAAATCATTTTCAAAATTGGAGGGCGGGGGGCGGTTTGCAGACATGCTTCAACTTAGCGGCAACGATTTGGAAGAGAATATCCTGAAAAGTACATCAAAAATAGCTTACTTTTAGGGATTTTGCTGCAACTGCAGGAGAATAAGCATCTTTTTGCTTACTTTAAGTAAACAAGGCTCATGGGTCACAGAGCACAAGCCCATCGGTCACTGTGCAAGGGACGTCGGCGCCCGTACAGTGCATGCATTCCCACCCCATCAATTCATAAACGCAGTGCTTTAAACGAGAAAAAATAAAATAAAGGTGGGGGGGGGGGTCGAAACACCGCTCTTCCTCTTAACTCAACTATATAGCAACTAAAGGCTGCAATAATTAACTCTCGATTATGAAGCGTGGCGGCACCCCTTCTTAAACACTCGCTACGCCACGGTACCGGTTCCAGCCACGTTTCTCGGACAGGGAATGGCGGCGGCAGCAGCAAAGTCTACAGAATGTCGCAGAGGCTCGAAGGGATGCTGAAAGCGTTGGGCAGAACTCGCATCTTCAGGGTACCATCCGCTCCACAGGAGAAGATGCGGTTGCCTTGTGCCATCTCAATCTGCATGACTCCGGTGCTGAGGTTTCGGAAGATGGACTGCTTGGCGTGTTCATGCTTAAACGAGTGGATCAGACCATAGCCTGTCAGCCTCCACACCTGCAGGAAGAGAGGGCGGACAAGGACCTTGTCAGTTGATTTTGGGGACCCAGGTGATCTCATTTTCCCCCTCTAACGGAACAGCTCGGTGGTAGAGCTCGTGTTTGGTATGCAGGTGTTCCAAGGTTCAATTCATGCCATTTCCAGTTAGTAAATACCAGGTAACAGGTGACAGTAAAGGTGTCTCTCCTGGAGACCTTGGAAAGGTAAAGGTCCCCTGGATAGTTAAGTCCCGTCAAAGGTGACTATGGGGTTGCGGCACTCATCTTGCTTTCAGGCCGAGGGAGGCGGCGTTTGTCCGCAGACAGCTTTCTGGGTCATGCGGCCAGCACGACTAAACAGTGTGTGGCGCAATGGGACACTGTGATGGAAACCAGAGCACATGGAAACATCATTTACCTTCCCACCACAGCGCTACCTATTTATCTACTTGCACTGGTGTGCTTTCGAACTGCTAGATTGGCAGGAGCTGGGACAGAGCAACAGGGGCTCACACCGTTGTGTGGATTCGAACCACCGACCTTCTGATCGGCAAGCCCAAGAGGCTCAGTGGTTTAGATGACAGCTGCTAGGTAAGAGAGACAATATTGGGCCTGGGTGTACAAATGGTCTAGACCTGGTTTAAGCCAGTCTTGTTTAAGCCAGTCTGGTTTAGGCACAGACAGGCTTAGCCTCCATGAATTTGCCTATCCTCTTTCTTTTTTAATTTTATTTATACTTTTCAGGTTTGTACATTTCACTAATTTTACAATCATTTTAACCTTTCAAAACTTGACTTCCTTTCCCCTCTTTCTGCGGTTCCTTAAATTTATTTTTAATATCTTCCGCATATCCAAATTAACTAAATTTGCTCATTTATGCATCTACTTTAAATATATACTCTTGTGAAACTGCAGGTTATAACAATAATCCTGCCAATGTTTTTATCCGTCTACAATTTATATGTAAATATTCAATAAACCATTTCCATTATTTTATAAACAAGTCTGTTATCTTGATTTCTTATTCTTCCAGGAGGTTACCTGCCTAATCCTCTTTCAAAGCCTCCAAATTGGTGGCTGACCCTGCTTCCTGTGGCAGTGAGTTCCATAGTTTTAACTATGTACTACGTGAAGAAGTACCGTATTTTTCGCTTCATAAGACGCACCTTTTTCCTCCTAAAAAGTAAGGGGAAATGTCTCTGCGTCTTATGGAATGAATGTGTGGTTGATCACTGGCTCCCATTCTGGCCCCTGCCCCCTTGCCCAGGCCTCCATTGCTGAATGTTCTGCAAGGAGGCTGTTTGTTTCCCCAGCGACATGTGACTGGCTGATTAGATTATTTGTCTGGAAACTGTAGAAACGGCTCCCTTTCCTTTCCTAAAGAAGCTGCAGAACTGTGAGTTGAACCCCATAAAAACAGGATTTTTTCCCTTTGCAAAGTAACTCAACAACTTTGAGCTGATCCTCAAAAAAGGGGCTTTTCCCCTTTGCAAAAGAAGCTGCACAACTGTGCCTAACAGTAGGGCCGGCTGTGGTCTTTCAAGACGTCTCGCACTGTTCACCAGGCCTGTTTTACAGCAGGAGGACAGCAATCCATCTCAGTCAGCCCCTCAAGTGTTGTTGCAAATGGATTAAGGCAGGAATTGGTGGCTCAGTGGTGCAACAAAACATTTAAGCAGGGTGGGGGAGGAAGCCAACATGGCGCCGAGGTAAGACGCGCTTACCGGTGCTCTTCGGACTTCTTTTAATCTTCTCTTAATCTTTTATACTTTTATCGCAACTGACTCAGTCAGTTTTTGAAGTATTTTATAATTGCTGCAGCCGCATACTATGGAAACTCTTTGAGAGATTTGGCCCTGCTCCAGACTGCTGCAAGCCGCTCTTTGTTTCTCTCATATCAGCGGGCTGGCTTTAGCTGCTAAAGGAGTTGAGAACGCCATTATCTTAATTGCGTGTTAAGTGTTATGTTATTTTAAGAATCGTATAATCTCTGGCCTGAGGAAAGCATGGGTCAGAAAAAACGCTTGAGAGACTTTGACGAGCCCCTATCATCCCCTAAACCAAAACTATCAAGGTTGGTGCCACACCGGAATGGAGGAGGGAGTGACCATGCCGAGCAATGCTTTGCAGTGGAAACCCAAAATCGCTTCCAACCTCTAATTGATTTAGAAGCTACTCCGATTCCGATGACTCAAAATGTTTCAAATGTAAAGCCTGTAAAGGAGAATACGAAAGAAAAACTCTCATCGCAGGATGATGGTTTGGCATCTGTTATGGGGAGTTCCCCAGATGTGAGCAGTTACACTTAGTAATTAAGACCCTTCACTGTATTTTTAAAAGGCTGGACGAGGTATCTTCACAATTATCCAA